AACTGCGTAAATAGGATAATAGCTGTGTAAGAAAAAAAAATTTTTTCTTTTCTGGTTTTCTTTTGCTCTAAAAACCTGTGAAATGATTAATCCAACAATAAAATTCAAGACAAATGGATTTTTAATAAATGGTTCAGTGCTTTTTTTGATGATTCTGCTTCAATGAGCAGCATATTAACTATTTCTATCTCCATCTGCTGCTGACTTGTTACTGTTTTAGGAATATACAACCTAGCAATGGCTAAGATGCTCACACTAAGATACTGTTAATGATATCAGCTAATCTGAAACCAAAAACTCTTTAGTCAACCCCCTTTCACCTTTAATTTAACAACATGGAGATTATTGAATCTGACTTCAGCACCCTATTTTCTTTTGACCTATTTTTATAAACATTTTCTTACCGGTAATTGTTTTTGTTATTGTTTCATATCCCTTTGTTTCATAGATGCCAACACATTAGAGGTACACTTTAACTGAGTTACTATAGCCATAAAAAGTGTTCTGCAAGTGATATATTAGTCTGAGACTAGTGATGTTTGGCCCTTTACTTTTTTTTTCTTGTAGCTCAAAGGTCTGTATTTTTAGCTACTATTAAATACAAAAAAGACAGCAATGTAACGATTAAGTAAAGACTAAACCTTTTGGAAAAAAAATAAATCACAGCGGGAAAATACAAATAAACCATAGTCATTTATAGGTTCCATAAAAAACATAGTAATTTACAGGCCTGTTGTTCTTTAGATGGTAAAGTTCAGTGGAACTGGGAACTCAATTTCTTATTACTGCCTGAAAGTTTTGCTTTTGCTGATCTGTTAAAACATTGGGGATGGAGCACCTACTGTCTAGCACACTCTCTCTTTTTTATTTTTTTGCATTTTCTGATAATAGCAAACTTTAAAATCAATCAGGCACTGATTAACTGAAGCCATGTCCACATTCTTTATAAACAGCAATGGTTCCTGGAATGTCAGCCTTTACTTTTGGACATTAGTAGGCGGAGATGGATCTGTCTGCAGTAACTTGCAGTAACTTTTTATCCCCTCCTGATCTAAAATTACTCTGTATTTTGTCATGGCTGGGTAGATTATAAAAAACGTTTGTTTTTTTTTTACATTTAAATGTAACTGATGTACTTCCTGTGTATTAAAAAAAATCCCTTAATTGTGTGCTGAAAATTTTTTAATGATATTTATGTGAGATTTTGGAAAGGTGTTCCTAACTTTGCATGCGCAAACAGGCACACAAATTGGCAACAAAAATAGTTTCCACAAACATATTTCCAAAGCTGTTATTCTGCATAATGTATTACAACCTATAAACTATGATTCTAGTCAATGATTTAGCAATCTGGACGTTTTAACAGTTGATTAATGACATTATTTATCTTTTTTTCTATTTTTGTAAAAGAAAAAAAAAAAGATGGCTCCAGAAATATAATTTATTCCCAGAAAGAAAAAAAAAGCAGGGAAAAGACATTCGTCCCTCTTTTCTTTACCTCATCTATTTCTCTACAGCTTCTTTTAAAGAGGCAGAGTTTGTATAGAATGGAATAAAAATGTGTTTTACCTTATCTGACAGCTTCCACCTGTTCCATGGAAGAAGTGCGGGGAAAACTTTTTTTCCTGAGTGTTTCTGTTTGTGTGCTGAACAAACGGAGTGAACACGCCCTCAGGATCAGTCGCACAGGGGGCAGCCCTCTGCTCAGAGCTCAGCGTGAGAACAAACACAACACATACACACACACATACCCCACACACACACACACACACACACACACACACACACTCAGTCGTTCTGTCATCGTAGTGAGGACCATGTGTTGACTCCCATTGATTTTCAGTCATTTTCAACCCTTTCTATGCTTTAACCCTAAAACTAACCCTAAACCTTACCATTACCAATGCATACCTCACCCTAACCCTAACCCATTGACACATTAGCCCTAACCCTAACCATTAGCAAAATAGCATGTAAGGGCCGTCAAAATGCCCTCACTTTGCAATAACTGGTCCTCAATTTGATGGTGAAACTGGGAAACTTATCCTAGACAGGTGCGCGCGCGCGCACACACACGGAGCAGTGCGCAAGGGGCTTTAAGAGATGCAAAGCGCATGTGTAGAAAGAGTCTGCAGTTCCTCGTGCGTTTGGGATTTTTTTTTAACACCAGGGGCGGAGCTAGATGGAGGCCCAGGGGCCACCCTTACCCAATCATTGGCCACCCCTGTGGCAATCCCTACCCCCCACCCCCCCTCTAATACAGATGGTGGCAGCCGTAATAATCTCAAGCGGAATATTCACAATATTAAAAATCTTAATTTATTAAAAATTATTTGACAACTAAAACACTGGTTAATGTGTGGTTAATGTGGTTATGCACATCAATATACTATCATTTAAGATGACAAATACAGAATTCATGCTCTTTTGAGAGCTAGATCTTGTCTTATGGGGTAAAGAAAAAATGATGAACGTACTATGCCTCTGATGAATGCTTGCGAGTATGTTTATTTTGCTCTCAGAGGTTTATACATACATTTGACACAATACATTTTCCATAAATCAAAATATGTTCTGAAGAAATTTTAAACAATAAAAAATTTAAATAAGCTAAATAAAAAAATACTTGCTAGGTTTGATTCTAACGCTGACATTTCTGGGTAAAAATGTTAGCTCCTGATAATTTTCATAAACATCCAACAGTCATGCACTAATTTCATATATTTAGAAAGATGTAGGCCTAATCTGGGATTTACTGCCACCACATTGTTTCTTATCATACCATGTCAACATGGGGTATTGAGTAACTGTCTGTTAGGAAAGTTTACATTTGATGAAATCAAGTACTATTGCATCTTCAACATAATTGTGTTGCTGTTGATCCTCTCTTTTTTGATTTGCATTTATATTGCTTTTATAAATAGGTATCAATCATTTAATTGCAGCTGTGTTATTGTACATGTGCTGTATTGTGAGTGAGGGAAACCTCTTAATGCTACTGAAATCTCTGACAGGTCCAAAAACTCCACATTAGGCTTAGCTGCATATCAAATTATGCATGTGTTAAATGCAAAGGAATGTGACACAGGTACATTACTTAAAACTCAAACTATTGAAATGCAGCACAATTGTGTGAACGAGATATTAGGTCAATACGCTCCTGTATTGTGTTACATCACATTTGATGATCATATTTTAGATAGGCAGAATTGGATTTTCTGGAGTATATCTTTTAAATGCAGTTGTGGTGTCACACGTGTCCATACTGTGCCCGGGAACAAGGGTGATCTGCTTAAGATAATAATTTGAGCAATTGCAGGCACTTATAGATGGAATAGCGAACTGCTCAAAGCCCAAGACACAGTAAAATATACCTCCCCTCTCCTGATTCAGCAGCACAATGTAACTCAATTTGGACTGAATTAAAACATTTATATCATCCAAATATTTTAAATTCTTTATGTCAACATGTGTAAAAATATTACACCACCTAAAGGCCAACTGATTGATGAATTAGTTATTATTTTGTCTTATTACTTCTCTTTCGAGACTAAGCATTGTTTTACCATGAACACACTGTCATAGATAAAAATATTGCCTAATGACTGTGGCCTCTCTCAGCAGCGATAAGGCTCCCTTCTATAAAGCAAATATGGTTTAGGAATGGTCAACATCTTGGTCCCAAATATCACAGAAAACCTTTAGGGAGTTCAGTGGTGAACTAGTCAGGAGTTGCAGGAATCCAATAGAGCTCCCATTGTGGAAATGTCTCAGGTCAAGGTAGTTGCTTAAATAAAGTGTATTCTGTATTCTGATATGGATATGTTACATTGTATAATCCTATTTTAAGTGTGTATAGTATTTTTGCTGTCTAATCACTAAAAGCAAAGGTCACAAGCAGAAACAGGAAGAGCTGTGTGCAACTGTTGTCATGTACATAACAAAAACTTTGCATAATGCACTTCCTATTCAAAGGTATTTCATGTAAGACAGCATATTTAGTTTTTTTAGCTTTACAAACCTTTGAATAATGGCTAAATGTGATCCATATACAGAGAAACAATAGCTACTCACTGCTTATGTTGAGGCAGCATTCTTCAAACGCTTCTCTATAAACCACAAATGTCTGCTTGAAAGGTTTCTAGATTGCACAAACTGGGGAATGGATCATAAAAACTCCAATCATATAGCTGTAGTTTATAGATGTTTTGGGCTGCTACTTTTTTAACTATTGCAGTTAGCTTGCATGTGCACAAATTTTGTTTAAACTTTTTTTTTTTTGCTTATTTGTTCTCCAGAAAAGAAATATGAAAGATAACATAAATGTATTTGCATTAAGGCTTGTGAAAAAACAAAAAATATTCTTTCCTTTTTATTTGTAATTAATTCTTTGCTAAAACGTTAAGGAAACCCTGATAAAAACAAAAGGGATATTTGGCAGGCTGATATGACTCACACATACACACACGGATGTTTTGCCAAATAATAAGGTGGATGTGGGATTTAACTCGTCTGCTTGCAGTTGCACACACCTATTATACAAATAGTGAGTTAGCACACACATACACCTCTGCTCATATGAAAGATTCTGCTTGTTTCAAGTAGAAGGGAAGTCGTAGATTAACTTTATGTGTTTGCTGGACTTCCCTTTTGCACAGCAGAAAATGTTTGCATGTAGGAGGAAGGAGGGGGAGTTAAAAAGAGGCTTGGGTTCACTCCTGTTCTTTGTCAACAGACTTGGAAAAGAGCCACCCTCTGCTAGTTGGGAAAAGCTTTTTGTGTGGGTTTAGTCAAGCCTGCAAAGCCTTGGCATTCTAGCCTCGCTGCCTCTCCCCTGCAGGCCTCCCTCTGTGTACTCCCTCTGCTACACACTGACACCAACTCACAGATACTGTGTAGGGACAGATGAGTGTTATTTATGGCTGTCCAACATCATATCATCCTTTAGGATCATTCCTACAGAACAATAATGTAGTGCACACTGAACAATGATTAACCAGAGTTTATTCAAGCAAGAACATGACAAAACAGTAAAATGAGCCACTTATTTCCATACCCAGCATAAATATGAATACAGATAAAAACACCTGGGAGTCAAAGAGCCAAAAAGTTAGAAAACCCAAATCACTGGCTATAAGTTTTACTTTTTTCCAACACTTCTTGAAAAATAAAATAAGAATAAAGGGACACTTATTTAAAATGATAGAGAGGGGAAGTGAGCAGGAGCTAGAAGTTATGTTTGATGAAAACAAAATGGACTTTCAGCATGGCAGTGGTAACATCACAGTTAGGTATTTCAGTCTGGTGCATTGCAGCCTGGGAATGTGTTTTTAATCACTAAGAAAAATGAACAGTAAAATGAAAAAAACCTGATCAGCTTGTTAACTGATTGTTGAAGCTGCACACAGACGAGATACGTTCTAGAAGCACAAGCATAGTTTTCTCTCAACCAGGATCTTTAGGACACTTTTTCAGAATATTATGAACTTTTTTTCTGCTGCAAGAAACTGAATTTAAAAAGTGAATAACTTCTATTACTTTGATCGCTAAACGGCTGTGCTAAAGTGGAGAATAGGATTGCCAAGATTAGAAATTAGTGAATAAACATCTTTTCTAACAGATAGGTTTTAAATTGACAGTCAAGCTTTTTTCTGACCTACTGTCTGCGCAAATTATGTTGTCCTTCTCTATAGCTGTGCTGCAATATTCACCACACATTTGAACTCAATGGTTGATGGTAATTACTAGTAAATATATATGGTCAAAATCGATGAATTAAAAACAAGCATCCCATAAGGGTTTATGTAGAGCACCCAACCAAAAATGACAGGAGCTCAGAAAAAAAAAACAAAAAACTTCTTGTCGTCATTGCTGGATGAGTCACCACTCTGCTGCTGCTGCTGTCCTCCATCCTGTCTGATCGCCCTTCAAACATCTTGTCCTCACTGTGTCTGCTCACTGTACAAAGACAGAACAATTTGCAGGCAGACTGAAAGTGTTTGTCACCAGCCAGAGAATAAAATGCAGGTCTGAGAGACTCAAAGTGAATTGTAGTGCCTTACAGAAGGATTAGTAAGTTTTGAGCCTTTCCACATTTCAGTGTGTCATTTCATTTTTATCTTAGAGGCTAACACAAGTTAGAATAGAATTATGAATTTGAAGAAATAATCTATAGATGTACAAATATGCTTTAATCTAAACCATCCCTCCTTTATAGGTTTTTGGATGTTGTTTCATGTTGCTCTCCTATGACCAAACCACCTGCACTGCTGATGTGTACTCTTCATTACTAATGACTAATAGGAGTTATTTTGGCTTTCTATTAACAATGACCTTTACCTCGCTGATTTTCTAGTGGGTGAGCCAAAGTTGTAAAACAGTATTGGGTCTAACATTGTGACATGTTCTTTTCATTTTCAGACAAATTACTCAAAACCGATCTTTGAGACATTCAAAGCTTGAAATATGATGTAATATTGCAATCTATATTCAAACCTCACCAAATCAATGATCTGTCTGCTCTGTCTCCTACTGTTCACTAATGTTCTTTCCAACCTTTCCTTTGACCTCACAAATATGCACTGCTTTGTCTTAATCTATCACATTAAACCTAAAAAAGGACACTACCTAATAAAAAATGAAACAAAAAAATAAATAAACTTCAGGGGAATTAAGTAGTTTTAAAAGGAACTTCCCTTTGCAAAATACAGTGCATATTCTTCACACCTGCCACCAGAGGCTGCTAGTGCCTCAACTTCATGGTTACTCTGACATCAGAGATCACTTGTATTCCCAAACTCACATGGGGTCATAGTTGCTCTGCTCTTTGGATTTCAGGAAGCGCATGGCGAGGAAGCCGCCGGCCTGCAGGCACAGCACCAGTATTATCCCACCTATGAAGCTGGACATGTCAAACTTGGCCTGGGAAAACTCACTGGATGAGTTAGAGCTGCTGTCATCCCCTTAAAAAGAACAGAGTTCACAGTTTTTCCATTGCTGCCATAACAAAGAGAGACAGAGATGATTAGGAAATGTTAAAACTGGATCTACTTTGGGAAACATTTAGCTCGCATAAAAAAAGGATACGGTATATGTTTGACTTTGGAGAAAGAGGGTTGAAGTGGCTGCTAGATCACAGCTGATCCAATTTACCTGAGTCACCTCCACCAGCGGCAGCACGCTCCACAACTGGGCCATAAAATATCACATAGATTTAGAGAGGTTTCTTAAAAAATACGTCATGCAGTTCTTATTTTTTTACTACCTGTGCACAGTTCAGACACTCTGGTCCAGCTGCAGTTCATACCACTGTCTGCTGAATCCCCCTCATCAGTCACACACATGCCTGTATCGTTACCTGAGAGAAAAAGAACAGCATTTGTCTTTTACTCTGCTTTCTTGGGATGTTAAATAATTCAGTTTCTGATACAAATGAAGGGAGCTTCTGTTACAACAGCTGTGATGATTGAATTACTATCAGAATTCAGGGTTGTGTGTGTGTGTGTGTGTGTGTGTGTGTGTGCGGCGGTGTGTGTGTGTCTTCTGTACCAGATGGGCAAAGCCTCCAGACACAACCTGTCAGGTTTAGCAGGGAGTCTCCGACACACAGATCGCATGACTCAGCCTGTGAACAATCTGAGGGACAAAAGTGGCCGTCACTCAAAAAGATCCCATGATTATCACATTTTTACTGCCTTTATAATCAAAGCTTCCAGTCTGGAGGAAAATAATCCATAGCTCCATAGATTTACCTCAGTTTGTAAGACACAGTATAAAAATTGGGACTATCAGTAAATATATATAAAGAAAGCAGTAATTTAAATAACGAGTAATGTAAATGTGATGTAGAATACACAAGAGAAGTTGATTACTGGTTATACATCAGAAAGTAAAAGCAAACCATTAAACAATTCCTACCTGCTTGTAGGTGCACAAATGGAACCGCTGCCAGAAGCAGCACAGATGAGAAAAGGACCCTTAGTACTAAATGTTGCATTGTGATGAGTCCAGAAAACAAACACCTGGAGTTTTACACCGTACTACTTCTTATTTATCAGAAAAAAGTGAGTCTTTCACCGGTCTTTTAAAAGAATCCAAAACCTCCAACAGAGTTATGGGTCCCAGTGAGGACACACAGAGAAAGAGGCTATGGGATCTTTGTAACATGAGGAAGACCAAACTTGGTTCCCTTGACAACCGTATGACTCTCAGCAGTCCTGAAACAAACACCGGTTTGAACAGACTGACACCTGTTTACCTCAGCTGTTCTCACATGACGTAAAGGCATTTGTTTTAAATCGTTAGAAAAAAGTAGCTAATTAATATAGTCCAAAATAGGATCTAGTAGGTCTGCGATTTCCTTTCACACCCGGTTTTATGACTGCTTTCCATCCATCCATCCATCCATCCATCCATCCATCCATCCATCCATCCATCCATCCATCCATCCATCCATCCATTTCCACAAACCCTATTTTTAGTGCGGAATCATGAGGGGGCTTACCACCAATGGATGATGGGCAGATTACACACTGTGCAGATCACCAGTCCATCATATCTTCTATGTGTCTACCTATCGATTTCTGATTAAAGACTACATGTGCTAAGATGCAGTGCTGCCCACACTTACCGAAACCCTTTTTAAGAGTACCACAGAAGTGCCTGAATGCTATTTATTTTGCAGATATCCAAATATACTTAGTTAATTCCAAGGGTAAATGTCTTTGTGGATTTGCTTCTGTAGTATAAGTTATTTATACTCTTTTTCTGCAAAGATAATTAATGTTATTTTAGACTTTACAAAATCTCTATTGGAAAAAGCCTCTTTCTATCAACTAAACTATCTGTCAAAAACAAAAAGGAATATGGTTTTTTAGTCTTAAATATCTTACACAATATCTTTCTAAACAATTAAAATATAGTGGAGTACGTTCAATTAATTATCTGCACATGGCTAACTGCTAACCTAGCAACACATGATAGACAGAACAACTGGTATTGAGAAACTGGTAATTATTAAAACTCGGGGAAGGAGGTCAATACTGGTTATTTAACTGGCAGCCAACGTTCATACAATCTATGAATCCAACCTTCACGGAAGAAAGAAATTTGTTGAATGAAGGGCTATTTGTCACAAACCGTCCAGGAAACATGAGAGCATGTTTTTGTGTTAGTTGCAGCATTTTGGAGCTCTGGTCCTCAAGGTACACTGTCATGTATGAATAAGAAATCTCCTCACTTTAAGTAGGAAAACTTCTAAAATACACCAAAGTGTGCCTCGAGGACCAGGGTTTAAAAAAACAAAGCTGGGTAAGAGCATCACCCTGAATACGCCATCTCTGCAGGTAAATATGGAGGTGGAAGCATTATGTTATGAGGATAATTCATTTCAGCATGGACAGGGAGGCTGGTCAGAGTTCATGAGAAGATGATCACACCAAGAAACTGTCATTGGATGCAGCACATGCTTTAAAGTGGACTTTCATCCAGCCATAATTGAATAGTTAAAATCTAAGAGCTACTTTTTTAACTAAGAAATTTCATGAGGTTGAATGAAATGCTTTCCCCTCCACTTTACAACTCCATGCTTTTGTTTTTGGTACATCCTATAAAATTCCACTTGAATACTTTGCAGTTAGTGGGTATAATGTAACAAAAAAAGTGGTAGGTTTATGGATACCTTTACATTTTACTGTATTTTGGTCTAAAGAGATGCAATTCAGAAAAGGTGGGTAAAAAGTAAATGGAATTTTTTTTGTTGCTGCCAAACGGAAATATTCAGTCTATCAGCAGCAGGAAAAAAAAATCAAAAAAGCTTGCTATAAACAAAGAAAAAAATACATACATAAATCAGGTGCTACAGTACTGTCAGATACCCAAAGTTAGATAGGCAGCACAGTTTTACAATAATGTGAGCTTTTCTATATTTGTACCAAAACAGGTAATTTTCAAGTAAGAGGACATCTTAAAGGAATAGAAAATAAATGCAAATAGCTTAATGTATTTTTCAGGTACAGTGATGATTACATAGTCTGCTTCTGAAAGGAATGAGCAAAGGCTCCTTTGTGCACTTAAGATGCAGCAGAAGCTGTTCAAAAGGGGAGCTGTTTTTTTGGTATACCTCTCCTGTCTCAGCACCTAGACTGGAATGAATTGACAATCTGACACATCTTTTCCCTCAAAAACATATTCAGCATTTTCCTTCTCAGCTCTTAAAAAGCTGCTCCTCCAACAGACAAAAAATATCAGATGCCACCACTGAATGAAAAAGAGAAATCTCCACAGAATGAGTTCCACTCCTCTAAACTAAATATCTGTTAAATACGCCCTAAAAATGCTCTAGAGGGAATGCACAGTGCAGCTGTCTCATTCAGATGCTCTGAGTCACAGCCACCGACCACACGTAGCTACTATTCAGCCCAGAGTCACGACACCCTTTACATATTAATACAATTAAAATGCAATTTAACCACATCCAAATCACCGTCTCTTTCTTTCACAAATAGCCTACGTTGCTCACATGCTGCAACGTGGCATATCCTCCCAATACGTCTGGGAAAACCTCATCCAACGTGACTGGAGAGAAAAATAGAAAAAAGCCCATAAAACACAGAGATTTGCCCCGACAGCCCCTCCAAATCAATATATTTATACACGATAAAGTAATTATTAACAGCAATTAGTCAAAAATGCAAGATGAGGGTGAAGAAAAAACACATTTATATGTCCTATTTGAGACAGCTTTGTTACACACAAAAAATCTTTAAGCATTTTGCTACTTCGACGATATTTAATAGATCTTCATATATAAGATTATACAGACACGGCAGCAGATCTGGGAGGAGAAAAAAAATGCTTTAATTTTGCAGAAAGTTGGAGAAGCTTGCTGACACAGGTGACATTTTCTAAGCGCTTGTACCCCAGAGAGTGTGTGGCGTAGGTGGTTTTTATACACGGGAAGCTTGACCATATAAGGCTCGAACAGAACGAGATTCCCCCAGTTTGCTCATGGCTCAGCGTCCTTCTACAGACACCTCCTGCATCACCCACGCTCACTATCAGACAGGGGGAAGCCACGTCTTTTCTCTGTTAACTCATGAACAAATACATTAGAAAGCAACAGACTAAATGTAGGTTAACAGAAAGGGTTGTTATATTTTGGGGTATTTTTTTTTTCTTTTTGCTGTTTTTTTATGTTTAAAGAGGCACGATATAGAAGTATGATTAGATATAAATCAATTAATGGAATTAAAAAAATAAATTGTTTTACCTTATTTATTTTAAACGTATTTACCTTTATCTGTTTAAATGTATAATAACAAAGAATGAGAATACTGCTTATGGTATATTACATTTTAAATGCGTTTGGGATTCATCTCTCATTGAAAGAAAATAAAGGTTGTATTAAAGTAATCTTAAAACTACCTGTTTTCCCACCCATGTTTCGTTATGTAACCCTAAAATCTGTGATGTCTGGCGCGTGGGAATAACCCACTACCAGGACAACTCCTATAAGTCATTTGATATCGGTGTGAAATAAATGTCTAAATTCTTGAATAATGTCCAGTTGCTTTCAAGTATTGATCACAAACATCGCTTTTACGAGATTGCTTTTGTAGTTGTCTTGTTTGATTTCATAATAGAAGAAGTTGTTCTATCAAGTCCTATAAAAACGATGTTCTGTTTCCATTCCTGTGTATGAAGTTTGAATGGAATATTTCTTATATGATCTGATTGTAATATTATAGTCAAATTAGCTAATAATTAATAAAAAAAAAAATCTTCAAAATTAGGGCTAAATAGAATATTCCCAATTAATTACACATATTTGAGTTTTTAAGTTAAAAATGCCAATGTAGATGGGTGTGTTTGATTTAAAGCCCCAACAGGCTTTGGTTTCACGCAGATTCGCGTCGCCCCGCAGGACATCTATCTCCCCATGAGTCATCCCCTGATGCATTTCAGCACCACGGACAGCTCCAGCATTCACTCCCCCAAACAGCTGAAGATCTTTATTGCTCTAAACAAAGCGAGACCCCGATCAATCTCTGGTTAATGCTGGAGTAAAGAGGGGGGTCTGTTGATGGTCATCATTTACCATAAATGAGAGCAACATGGAGCCGCAGTGGGAGGGGTAAAAGGGATGCCGCATTTTTCTGAATGAAATTACTCCACACGCACCGCCTCCTCCCTTTCCTCCTTCATCGTTCTCGCCGCATCCCAAATGCGTGTCCCTGATTGGTCGAGCCTCCCAGTCACTGACGTCAGTCGAGCTCTCTTGTGGACGAGTACCGCGGAGAAGCATCCATTCTTCCTACAGTAAGCGCTCCGGAGACACTGAATAGGATAAGAGGGGGATGCGGACCGAGCCGGGAGAAATACAGATGCTCGGGGACTGAAGTTTTTACTCTAAAACCAGCGCAGCAGAATCGTCTCATCCTTTGTCGTTTCCCTCCTGAATCTGCTCAGAGAAGAATACGGATTATATTCAACTATTGCAAACCACTTTTCGTGAAAGGTAAGAAGCATATGTTTGTGCATACATTCATAGGCTTTTTGAATGTGCTGCATAGACCCTACATGCATCGAGTGTTATACAACAGGGTCTCCGAACAAGGAGGTGGGAAATACCTCCTCCTTGCTGTGAGATTGTAGAGCAGGGAGGAGGAAAGACTCCTGTTTGCCGCAGATCCACCTTAAAATAGAAATTGGCTGAATAACAAGAAATAATCGCAAATGATATCTTTTATGATTGTTCATCTTCATTAAAAAAGGCACTCATGTTCTGCAAGAGATAAAATCATATCAAACCCGAAAGGCGCTTCCCAGTTAAATGCATAAATAATTGATCAGTTGCATTAAACAGGCCTATTAGATGAATCAGTTTTCACCACTTACCCACATACTTTGATGTCACTGATAATGTTAACAAGGAAAATCAAATGTGCAAAAATCTGATCCCAATTATAGACATACACCTCTTTTTTTTTTTTTTTTTACATTTCGTCACGTTGCCCTACACACATCAAATATTCTATTAGTATTTTATGTAATAGACCAGCGCAAAGCATTACATAATTTTGAAGCTGAAGGAAAATTATATATTTTTTCCACATCTCCCACTGAAAATTAATAGAATGCATTTGGTGTGTTTGCTAATAGTTCTTTGTAAAAAAAAAATGACTTTGTCAGATTAGGTGGAGAGTGCATGTGAATACATGTTTAACTTTAGCCATAAATTTCCATTTGCATTTAAGCCACATCGAAACCTGAAAATAATGTGATCTAAATAATTAAATCATAGCTCTGGTTGTATGTTTAGGGTTAACGTCCAGGTGGAAGGTGAAACTTACAACCCCAACTCTTTTGAAACCTTTAACCGGTTTTCTTACTGGACTATCAACATGCTGATTTACAACATAATGCTGTCTCTACCATGTTTCATTGGGGGATGGTATGTTGGTTATATTTTACATAGATTTCCTCCACACAGGATTTGCATATAAAGCAATAAAATGTTTAGCAATTGCTGTGTTTTATTCTGTTAATTCAAGGGGATATTTGGGACAGTTATTGCTGTCTCTTATTAAATCATCATACCTGAGCCGTGGATCATTATAACTACTTCAAAGTTACTATGGTCCCATTTTGGCAGCTTCTCTATTGAATGAACTGTAAGTTTAGGGTGATGGCTGTCTGAGATTAGGTTACACACAGATGTGCTCTACTAATTAATTTAGTTTTAAAGGTAAATGTTTTCTCTAGGTTTTATTTAACCAAACTGGACTAAAATTTGCTGTGTACAAATTAATTCCACACTTTTCACATATACAAGTATAAAAGGGGAAAAAATGATAATAAAAAACAAATAAACTACATAGTTTTCAGTTATGCACTGCATTGTGTTGGTCTGTTGCACACATTTAAATGAAACAGTTTGATGAAATGAGACAAATGTAAAGTAAATCAAGGGGTTTGAATACTTTTGGAAGGCACTGTGAGAAATTGACTTTGGATATCAGTTTATCTAAGATTGGAAGCAGTTTCTCTGGATTTGCAGCTCCAGAGAGATGCAGTAATGAGTCAATGAAGCTAATCCCTTTTATATATTTTCTCTTTTAGGTTTTACTGGTGCTTCTGTTGATCCAGACATGATCCTTAACGCCTCAGAACTGCCATGGGAAGAGTCCTCAGGTCTGGAACCTTTCTTCCCACTGGACCCACAGGAAAGCTTCTCTTCACCTGAAGTCCAACATCTCACCATCTGGGGCGTGGCGCTCTGTGTTTCAGGAACTCTCATTGCCACTGAGAACGCCATTGTGGTAACGACTATCTTGGCCACCCCATCCCTCCGCGCCCCCGTCTTCCTGCTGCTTGCCAGCCTCGGCCTGGCCGATCTCCTGGCAGGTGTGGCGCTTATTCTACACTTCCTCTTCCGGTTCTGCGTAGAGCCCAGCAACTGGTCCGAACTGCTGACCTCAGGGTTGTTGGTGACATCTCTGACCGCCTCCCTTTGCAGCCTCATGGGTGTTGCCCTGGACAGATACCTGTCTTTGAGCCAAGCCCTCACCTACGGCTCCAGCCAATCCCGCCGCAGAGCTGCCATCCTCCTCCTGCTGGTCTGGTTGGGAGCTTTTGCCATTGGTGCAGGACCTGCCATGGGATGGCACTGCCTTGAGGAGCCAAACTCCTGCTCTGTAGCACGACCTCTCACCAGAACCTATCTATCGCTACTATGTGGGGGCTTTCTAATGGTTGTAATTGTAACCCTGCAGCTGTATGCAGGGATATGCCGAGTTGCAAGGCGGCATGCCCATGCCATTGCAACCCAAAGGCACTTCCTACCCACCAACCAGCCGTATCCAAGCAGACACAGCAGTGGAAAGGGGTTTTCTCGCCTGTTCCTGGTCCTGAGTGTGTTCGTGGCTTGCTGGATGCCGTTTTCCCTCTGGGGGCTGCTTGGAGATGCGTCCAGCCCCCCTCTGTACACATATGCCACCTTGGTGCCAGCTGCAGGTAGCTCCCTGCTCAACCCCATCCTCTACAGCCTGAGAAACAAAGACATTCGTAAGGTGCTGCTCCACGCCTGCTGCCCATACAGATCCTCGCACAGCACCCACTCCCACTACCCTGTCGATGTGTAAGATCAGTCATAGCAGCACTCAATCTATGCCAGACATATCATTGTGTATGTGCCAAGACACTCAGAATCTGCACTCAGCGTCATTGACGTCCAAAGAGTTAAAAAACTCTTCTTTCCCCCAATGAGAAAAACCACTCCCACACACCCAAGCAGCATTTTTCCAAGCTGAAGTCCTCCAAATCAGAATGTACTGAACTGTCTTGACTTTTGGCAGCCAGCTTGGGACTAAATGTACTGTCCGGTGTATACTTTGTGCCTCAGACGACTGTAGCTCTGCTAGATCTGCAGAATAAAACAATCACAGGAACGCTACATGTTGGATTGAATGACTGTGAGCACTTTAAAAGGAGAGGAAGCTCTGGGTTTTTTATTTAACACCTGTCAGTGTGAAAACGTGTGACTCAAAGCCCAGTTCTAATTACTTGAAATGTGTGAGAAATAAGCGGGAATATATTTTGCACATGCTGATAAAAAAGCACTTTGAGATGTACTGACCATATGTTTTGTTTTTGTTTTTTTGTTGCACAACCTTTTAGAGATGAATGAATATTTTATACTGATGAATAATAAATGAATCTTTTTTTCTACTATATGATGTCAGCACCGTTCTTTTAAAACTGCAAGAAGTGGGTTTTAATGTGTTTGTGTCTTTTTCCCTCTTTATCAAACTCAATTTAGGAAAAACTGATGCTCTAGCTTAAGGGATTTATTTTTTTGCAGATTTGCAACTTTATGTTCTCCCTTAATATAATTCATCCCTTTATAAACAAATCATCCCTGGTTTAAGGGTGACAGGATTATGTAAGCTAGGTTTTTCGCACTTTCTACTTATTTTTCTGATTTTTAAACACCCCCACACATCCACTTCCCGGCAGTCAAGAGGTGCCCTCTGCAGATAAACATTGAGTCATGGATAAAGCCCATGGATTGTTTTGACAGGTTTATGCTTCTTTGTACCTTTTTTTTTGTAAAGACATACAATACTATGCATATAGCTGCTAAATTTTGTTTTCTTATTTATATTTATTAACGTAATTTTCACACTTCAGTGTATTTTATGTAATAAACCATAGCAAAGCATAGCATTTACTGTAAAATTGAAGGAATAAGCTATATTGGATGAAAAACATCAAAATGTGCACTGTATTGCCACAATCCATGTAGAGAACACAGCAAACACGAGGATGAAGGAATTTTTGTCACAAAAGAAAATTAAATGCCTTTATGCCAAATGCTATGTATTGCAATAAAACTAACACTGCCCTATTCAGAACACAAGATTCCCAAGACGAAAGATGGTGGTAGCAGTGCAGTGGCTTTGGGAATGCTTTTCTTCAGCAAGTTCATAGAACTGGTCAGAGCTGATGGGGAAATGTCAGAACCTAAACACAATGCTGGACGAAGTACTCAACCATAGTACTTGTGTTAAAGTATTGATACTCAGTCAAAACTTAGCTACAAGTAAATGTTACGCGGTCATACATCCACTCAAGTTAAAGTATTGAGGACTTAGATTTATTTTGTCATTTTGTATACACGAGTGTATACAAAAGGAAATTTTGTTTAAAACAGCTCTAGACAATTTCGTTTTTTAAAATTGTCTAGAAACTGAAGTACTTCCTATTGAAAACACTTAGCTATTCAGAAGTACATGCAGTTAAAATTACCTACTGTAAGTATTGAAAAATTCAAATATAAGTTTCTAATATCAATGCATTGCTGTATAATTTTCAGAGTAATTTTACTGATCCTTGTTACTTTCAGAAATCACCTGATGTTTTAACCTGCAGAACCACACTGCTAAAAATTCTACACCGGTTAAGTGCCTAAATAAGTGCCCCTCCCACATATTGCTCAAGATGTATATATATATATAAATAAAAGTCCTTAAATACAGTAATCAAGTAAATGTACTTTGTTACTTCCCACCATTGCCTAAATATAAATCTGGAATTAAGCCAAAGCCTGCAAAAGTTATGGTGGTGGTTGAGGCTTCCTGTAGAGATATGAACTATATCCAGTGAAACCTATAAATTAAAACACACAATGCATTAGAATGACCCAGGAGAGCCCACCTGCCCCCACCCTCCCTCACGACCTTCTACAGAAGCACCATAGAGAGCGTTCTGACCAGCTGTTTCACTGGGGGCTGCAGCCCATCACATCATCAATGACCCCTCACACCATGTACAGTTCTCCATGCTGCCCTGTTGAATGACAGTTTGCAGCATCCGATGCAGGTCCAGAAGATTCCAAAACTATTTCTTCCCCGCTGCCATCAGACAGATGAACTGTTAAAAAAACCCTAAATCATGTCAGACTCTGCATCACACTGATAACACCAAACCTAAACACTGCATAATTGCACCATATATTTGATGCTTTGAACTTCCATATCAATGTGTTTTTTGTATCACATTTGTTTTTTCTCCAGCACTGTTTATATTCTACAAGTGGCTCAAAACCATGCCTCTGCTGAGCCAAATGAAGGGATTAAGCCTTTAGATTCAAGTGTGTTAGAGAAGAGAGGCATCTAAAAAAAGATTTTTTATTAACAATTTTAGATAGTTGACTTCACTGCATATGAAGACGGCAGTAAAAGCAAACTTTAAGCACATATATAAATGCAACTAAAAAATAATATGAAACATATGGACAGGTGTAAATCCTTACAAATCCAAATCATATCTTTGACATGACTTGAAATCTTGAGGCTTTCATTAGATAGTAATGGCTAAAAGCTAGTCTTTAATTTAGCAGATAGGCCTGAAATAGAGGAACACCTGGAACTGCAGTGCAGATTTTACAGGAATGAACTCAGAAGGGCTGACAACAAATGCACGCCACACTTTTCAGATTTTTATTAGCAAAAAATTGTTTTGCAAAGCATGATCCTTCCCTCCCCCCCATTTCCACATCACACTTATGCAACCTTTGTGTTGGTCCATCACAAAACTTCTATAAAACATTGCTGTTTGACAAAATGGGAAAATGTTCAAGGCTGGAACACCAACAGTCTCAGAAATTTAAACCAATTCAATGCAAATTTATTGAAATAAATCATCTGGAAACTTAAAGAGAAGCATAACTTTGGCTAAACAGGCTGTGCAGCATAAACTGAAGCACTTTACATAAAAGGCACTTTAAATTTAATTAATCGGTTAAAGCCGCTATTAAATAGAAGACCTGCCAAATGAAGGCACAGGTATTAAATGTCAGGAAAAGGCACTAGCGGAGGCAAAAGGCTGCCTGATTTGTCACACATTGAAGAAACCCCCCAAAAGAATAATAAAGACATATTCTCAGGAAAACTTAATACAGCTAATACAACACAAATACCTTATATTCATATCCATGTGTTCAGTATGGCATTATCTTGTAACCATTTTGTTTGAAAGTTTGTTAATTTATTAGTTTAAAAGCAACAAGTCATCCGTTTCCAACATCACCACAGGAAAAAAAGGGTCTAATACAAAAAGGTGAGGTGAAAAAGTTTGTCAAAAATACACCTTAAAGCAAACAATCAGACTTCATAATGGAATGGGGAAAAAAAATCACATCTATAACATATTATAGCTTTAAAGCTAATATTCTGTGTCTCTTTGGAGGGCTCGCAGCAATGAGGAACTGAGCATGTGCATTGTTGTGCAAACTTACACTACTTGTTTTGTCGTACAGGGAATAAAATCAGGAATAGATTTCTTGCAGGGAGATGTGTTTCTAACCTCACAATACTGTTCATTCAACCGTTTACAGGCCGGAGGGACAAAAATAACCACAGTCACACACTTTGAATCATTAGACCTTCTCACCTGACTTTGAATTAGTCGGAATAAACCAGTAAAGGAATGTGATATTAAGTACATGCTACCTTAGAAAAAAACAACCTCATACTGGAAAGGATGGAATACAAAAAGAAACGAACAGATGTTGATCAAGGCTAATAAGGTAAGGTGGTGTTAGTTAAGGCGATCATTCAGACCACTCGTCGTCGTCGAACTCCGAGGAGTCGTCCTCGCTGTCGCTGCACTCCACAGCGATACGGCGCGACAGGATGGCAGCCACATCGTTCCCAAAGTGATCCCTTTTCTCCTGTTCCCGCTGAGCCTCCACCTTACGCAGGTTGAAACCTAGAAAATTAAAAGCAGGACGACTTTTAGCATCCCTGCAATTGGCTACAAGCAGCATACTGTAATCAGTCACTGATGTATCTTGGAAAGAAGAAAAATTATTCATTACAATCAGATCATTTGGCTTTCCTTATTTGATGGAATGGTTACCGTTTTTCTGCTGTTTATGAAAATAAGTGGAATAAAAAATGTTTTCATATGTGATTAACTTAATAGATCTTTTGAAAAAAGATTAACTGCAGTTACAGATTTAAAGTCATTGTAAAATAGTAAAGCTTAGCTTCTTCATTTGAAGAATTATTTCAGACATTTCCTAGATCATATATTGGAATCAAGTACTGATATTTTCTCAACTGCCTGGTTTAATAAATTTCAAAATAAAAGTTCATAATATTTTAACATTACAGTTTAAATGATTTCATAGACTGTCGGTTGCATTTAAATAGAACAGTCTTCTCTGAGTCTGTATCTGCTGGATGTTCAAAATCCTCTATTTGCTGTTGAATACATCTTACCTTGTCGGATGGCGCACAACAGGTCACTGCGAGCATCGCCGGCGGGGGCAGGCTGAGGTTTAGGTGCAGAGCTAGGGGCCAAGCCACCAGAGGGAGAAGGACCAGCGCTATAGTTAGATGTTGGAGGAGGCGGCCCAGGGGGTGGGGGAGGAGGCGGAGGGGGTGGTGGTCCTCCACCTGCACATGGAGGAGGTGGAGGAGGAGCCACAGCGGCCATATCGGGAGGTGGAGGCGGGGCTGGTGGGGATGGAAAGGAGGGCGGTGGTGGGGAAGGAGGTGCATCGAAGCCAGACGGAGGAGGCGGTGGAGCAAAGTCGGAAGGTGGGGGTGGCGGGGGCGCGGGCGGCGGGGAAAGGTTCGGGCGGGAGTTTGGCAGGGGAGATACGTCAGGAGGAGCTGGTGGAGGGTGGCTTGGACTCAGCAGGCTGTTCCTCTGCTGACCTGGGCCCCCATGCTGCCCATCATTAAACCTGCAGAGAAGAATTGGATGTTAGAAGCAAATTCAGACATCAATAGACCATAATGTCGACTTCACTTCCTCAAATTAACATTTTATATCTGTGCAGACGCTATCACACAAGCCTGTGTCTGAGTGAACTAAAGGCTGAGATCATTTACTCTGTGCACCCAACACGTTCCTGGCTTCAGCTGCCAGGGGCTGCACTGTGCTGGCAACATGTGTGGGCTGTGTGTATGATGCTAGGAGTACTTACGGCATGTCTACGGGTGGAGGAGGCAGGATGTCATCAGGTGGAGGCGGAGGAGAGCCCGGATCGTAAGCGTAGGAGCCCGTGCTTTGCTCAAGGTAATCAGAGTTTTCCTCCCTGGATCCAATGCTGCCATTTAATCCATCAGAGGCATTCCTGAGCGCAAACAAAGACATCAGCGTCAAATCAAGGGCAGAACAGAACTCATTTGCAGCTGCTGCTAATCAATGCAGCATTTGTGGATAAAAGATGTTTGTCAACTGAAAAAAAAAGAAGTTAAAAATTAAAAGGGCTGCAGTGTTTCATAAAAGCCTGGCAGAAAACAGACAAAACTGAAAACAGATAAACGGAGAGCAGAGATGGCTTCATTTATTTTTCACCTCCAACAGCGTGTTGCACCATAAAAACAAATATCTTGCTTAACAAGATTCTTTATACTACCTGCTGTTACAATTATCTTCATTTACTTCCCCCAAATGAGAAAAATTGTATATTTTAACTAAAAACAAATCAATGGTGTGATGAAAGTCAAATTTTTTTGTTCTTTTGAAAAGGATAATTTTTTTTCAAACTGATTTCATAATTTATTATATATTACTTCTCTACATGGGACGATATTGAAGATATGACGAAGATATACATAATGTAGTTAGTGTATAGCTTGTATAATTGTGTAAATCTGCTGTTGCCTTGAAGTAACTAAACACAATATATCTAGAAGTCCAGCAACATACAGAAGAGCATCTAAGGTAAAAATGTCAAAACTGGGTTCAATGTGGAAATATTTACAGCTTTTTTTCTCCACTCCCTCCAGAACTGCCTTAACTCTGTTGGGATGAGGTTCATGGGAGCTTCACAGGTGGCCAATGGCCTCCTCTACTCCTCCCAGATGACATCAGAAGCACTTCTCCACCTTCTGTTTGAGGACGGCCCACAGATGCTCAATAGGGTTATAGTCCAGAGACGTGCTAGTAGTTTGTTTGTTCGGTCGTTTTCTTTTAGGAATACTGCTCTGTTTCTAAAGGAAGATGATATAGCTGGCAGCACTAACTCGACCCCCAAACCATGACACTACCACCACCATGCTAGACTGTACTTAGCCGGTGCTACAAAAGGTCATTTTTAATGGCCTTCTACAGCACTAACAGGCTGGTCCTTTCCTTCCTTTAACCTCTGCAGCATTAATATGTCCATCAGAGAAGTGGACTCACTTCTCTGACCAAACATACACCCTGTCTTGATAAACTGCTGTATGGTCTTATCCATCATGCTGCAACTCAGTTGGCTAACTTTTATTTCAAGCAGCTTAAACACCAATGGCTGGATGACGAGTTGTTTTAATCAAACAGGAAGTTTACACCCATACAAGAGCTGCACAGTGACTAATTTATATTGAATCAAAGAGTTATATCTTCAGTATTGTCTCATAATAAGTTCTTCACTAAATGTAGGTGGTGTGCGTACTTTTGGTAGCTACCGTACGTTCAACAATATTTCTATCCTATGAAAAACATAAGCAATCAAAACAAAAAAACCAAGTGGCAGAAACATGTTTCTGTTTTGTTTTTGTTTACTGTAGCGTTTTTGTGACAGTCAGCGCTACACCCACCCCCCTGAGAACATTCCCAGACAGCACGTACCGCCCCATCACTGTGTACAGATACAGTGATAAGGAGGTGGGGGTATAACATGAGCTGCTGAACTCTTGCTGTGTAAACTAGACAGAAGCAATCGATTCCATTGAGCCCTTTTTCCACTTCTAAGTGAGCTCTACTTTGTTGTATTCCTGCCCTCATCCACTTAAGCCTCCACAAAAACAAACAGACTTCGACATATATTCCTTCTCTGTCTTGATGAGACCAGTGACTGAGTAAATTACAAATGCTGTTAACTTTAAGTAATTTCTTTGCACCTCTGAGTATTTATTTATTTATTTATCAGTCAAGTTAACCTCAGCTTCTCTTCCAGGAATGGCTTGGATTTGGCTCCATTCATCTTCCTGTCAACTTTGAACAGCTTTCCTGTCCAGCTGAGGAATTCCAACAGCATGATGCCGTCATCAACAGGTCACTGATTATAAAATAGGAAGTATTCCCTCCGGAGAGGGATTTGCAGGGAAAGCACTAAAAATATCTATAAAGGACAATGGAAATACTACAGATGGTCGTAGATAGAAGGTCTAAGACCTTAAAACTCTGCGAATCAGCTTAACATGAGACTCTGGTGTTTCTGAGCAGTAAAACTAAAGTAGGTCCTCTTTCTAAATTTGGTCTGGCAGCCAAAGGCCAAATAATTTAGCGATTAAAACTGAGCCTAAATAACAAATGATCAAAACTACAAAGTTTATTGGCGAAGAGACAAAAGGACCAGTAACATCTTTCGTAGCTTATCCCTTCTTTTGTAGTAAAGGCCTTATTGGCCAATAACAAAACGGGTAACGTTGTGATACATATTACTGCATATTTCTACTGTACACAGTAAATATAGAAGAAACAGGTCCTAAAAATGTTTACAGCTTTTCTTTAAGACCCAGATTGCTAACGATGTCAATCAGAAACTATCAATAAATATGAAGCGAAACTTCTAAAAATACAGAAATTGTAAACAAAAAATGCCAAGTATTCAGCTGAATCTATAATACATAATTCCAGCTGTCCTGCTACAAAGGAAAATAAAAATGTTTCCATTATTTTTATTTGAACTGCTGCTGACTCTCCCCCTGCTTGTTGGTCTAACTAAGGTAGTTAAGGTGATAGAAATAAATAAATACTGTTGATCATATGTATTTTACCTCTTAAAAAGAACCCCATCTTTTGTCCAAACCATCTGAAAACACTAAATGAGGATTAAGATTTTTTGTATGTCAACTTTGGTTGCTGCAAAACATGTCTTCCCGCCTCTGTCAGTGAGCCCCAGGGCAGCTGTGGCTACAATGTAGCTTGCCACCATCAGTGTGTGAGTGTGTGCGTGAATGGGTGAATGAATGTAGTGTAAAGCGCTTTGGTCAAGTCTTCCAACTTGAATAAAGGCGCTATATAAGTACATGCCATTTACCATTTACCATTTCTAAACACTCCTCTTTAACAGCGTAGACTATAAACAGGATTTCGGTTTAAATTTAGTTCTAGAAATGGCATTAAACTCCCTGAAAAAGGAAATGAAATTTGTAATCAGCCAAAAGTTTGTGACTGAAACCTCTTACTACGCTTAAGCTTTCCGAGTATGTGGATGCACCGAGTCCTCCTTTCCGTTTACTCACGCCTCGTTCTTTGGTACGACAAACTCCTTTCCCATCTTAAGCCGCTCCCATTCGTCCTTCCTGGTCTTGATCTTCCGGGGATGAAGCGTCCTTGGGTTCACATTGTCTTTCTTCTCCCTCTGCACAGAAAGTAGATATTTAAAAAAGAAGAATGCCGACGTTACTTGGACTTTATGTATCATGTTTTTCAGGGGACGATGTTAGCGTGTCTTACTCTGTGCTTGCGTTTCTCCTTCATGATGTCTTTGGTGTCCTGCAGCATCTTCTCCTTCCACAGGTCAAAGAAGTAGGATGGATCGGTGTAAAACTTTAGAGCCTCTTTACCGTCCTCCCTACAAAACAATATTTACTGGCATTACGAGTTGAAGCCACACTTTAACGTGTCTTATAGGAGAGATTAATCTGGCTTAATGGTAAAAATACAAAATAAGCATCCGACTTTTCAGCAGATCTCTGCATTATTTAACCAAATGAAAATATTTATCTCCATCCTACCTGTACTTGCTGAGCTGGTTGAGGGGTGGGGGCGGATTACAGGTTGTGTAAGTATCCTGAACGGGCACCGGCAGAGACGGTCTGGTGAACAACTGCTGGTCCTGGGTCAGGCTGCTGCGGAAGGCTTTACGGCTATTGATGGCCTGCAGTGAGACTGGAAGAAACAAAAGGGAACGATGAATAAACAATTTAAATGATTCATTTGGCCTCACAAAAGGAGAGGCTGGAGATGGCTCCTGCAGAAACTAACAGGCTGGAAGATTTCTAACTGTTTTAAGGAGGAGGGCTTACCCTCTTCTTCTTTGGGGTCCAGTTGGGTGACTTTAACCTGCAGGCGATCCACCCTTTCCCCCAGTGTGTTGACTCTGGTAGCAAATGCTCCAGCCTGGACAAACAGCTCCCCGAATACATCCTCTGCATATCTACCTAAAGAAAAGAAAAGAAAAAAACAAACATTTCAATACGCCTGACCACACTCGGCTGAGAAATGCACTGAATACGGCTGCCGCTCACTGAGGCTGCCGAGCTGCCGGATGATGTTGGCCAAGCTGATGTTGGTCACACATTCCAGTTCGCTGCGGATAGTTGAAGGGAGGGTCTGACGGCTGACATGCCGCGGCTCTATATTCCTCGTCACCAAAGGCATGATGGGATGCGGCAGGCAGGGCAGCCCAACCCTGAGATGGCGGAGGAGAGAAAGTTGTTAGCTGACCTTTGGCTGATGTATAAAACATAGTAATTACAAACTTTTACACATCTGATCACTTTACAATCACACACATCATAGACTATTACAAAGCAGCGCATAAGTGTAGGGAAATGAATACATAGAAGTATGGAAGTTCAAAGTCTTTTTTTTCCCAAAATACATTCACAATGTAAAGGTCTGAACTCTTTTACATTTATAGGTTTAAATGTTCTATTATATGCATTGTGTCTGTAATATAAATAAAATCATATTTACTTCCAAACATTTAAATATCTTGAAGTTAAATTTAAAATTAAAACAAAAGAAGAAAAATATATCATGCATTGGAACCGTAAAATGAATATTCAATGCATATTATATTGGGTGCTTTCCCACAAGATAATGGTCCTGTATAATATCATTAGCAAATTGATTATTCATGCCTGTTTGGTAAAACACTTAATGCTGAGATATGAATAATTAAGTCATTTAAAAAGGCATTCAGTTCCTTTATTTATTTATTTTTTAGAAGCAATCTGTCACAAATTAAGAGATTTGTTACTCTTTTATTAGCTTGCAATGTCAAATTATCACATGAGTTTGCGTTGCAGTCCATATTCTTGCAATTTAAACACATGTTTTGGGTAGTTATAATAATTTATAGAACAATTAAATCTCTTGGCAGCCACTAGAACATTTGACAGCTCTAAATAAGTCACAAGCTCATGACTAAGCAAACAGAGCACACATATATAAATAACACAGAACCAGACAAAGCTAAAGCAGAAGCAAAACTGCAGCTTTGCTCAGATCAGCATCCACTATGAAGCAGCTGAGTGACCAAAAAGAAAGGTTCAAATAGAGAAGAGATTGGTAGGGGTTGCTAGTTCCGCATCATTATGTTTGCAGCTGTGTAAATATGTTAACTGATATGGACCAAACCGCTGCACCTAATGCCACTTTAAAGGCACACAGTAACATAGCAGAATATGGCTTTTGAACATGACAGCCCTGAACCCACGGGAAAAGTGATCTAGAAATTAGTTAAAATTTCTTAAATTAACAGAAAACCGAATAGAATAGAAAATCCCTTTATTGTCCCACAATGGGGAAATCCGGGTGTTTACAGCAGCAAAAGATTGTTCATAAACACAAATGCGGACCTTAAAAGGTGTATAAGAATATTTATGTTTGTAAGTTACTTATGTTTAACCATGTGACCTACTCTACTTGTAAGCCTAACTCGTTGTATATACTTTCAACGTTTTGTTCTTTTTTAAGTATACCGTATAGAGCAGCAGACTGAATGTGGGCTTGTATGTATACGACTGTGTAAGTTGCAAAAATTTTAATAAAAATTAAGTGAAAAAAAAAAGTGTATAAGAATAAACACAATACTGAAGAGTTAAAAAAATAAACAAATGAAATACTGTACTTTAAATTGTTTTAACAATGTAAAACAGTGCACCTGGATTAAATAACCAATATACAGCTAGAAACATTTTTACAGTAGTGGATATGTGAAAATAGTAGCAACATCAGAGATCTACAAAAATGACAGCAGCATGTTGTTTAACTGGCGAAGGTAGAAACTGTGCACAATCAGCATGAATGTGACATTTTATTAAGGTTGTTGGGAACAGTGTTTGTTATAGAGTCTTACAGCTGCTGGGAGGAAGGATCTGTGATAACGCTCCATGGTGCATTTAGGGTGCAACTGAAGGAGCTCTCCAGCAAAGGCTTCATGCATGCGGTGGGAGACATTATCCAGAGATGTTATTTTAGTTAATATTATTTTGTTTCCCACCTCCTGCACTGAGTCCGGAGAGCATCCAATCACAGAGCGGACCTTCCTGATTAGCTAATCCAGCCACTAAGTGTATTTAGCCTTAATTTGAGTAGGTAAATCAGATGATTTGCCAATGGAATAAGAATTTTTACTCTTAAAATAATAAAAAAAAAATAATTAGAGATTATGATCTTGAAATAAGACAATGCAATTGGGTTTTCTTATTTTAAATGTAAATTGTCTTTTTCCATTGGCAAAGTGTCTAACTTACCTCCTTAATTTAAGTGCATTTTACAAAACGCACTTATTATAAGAAAAAAAAATAATGATTTTTACAGATTTCAATTTTTTTGCATTGACTTCATTGTGAAAATGTTTCCCTGTTGGCCTCATTTTGGTTGCCTAATTACAAGTTTGACCAGTAAAATATGGGGCTTAACCAGAGGGATGATTCATAGCATAAATATCACACAGGGAGACGTTTGGGTTGAACTTTTTTTCCTTCCATCTTGGTTGTTATGTTACAAAAAAATAAATAAAGCCTCTAGCAGTGAAGGAAAACTAGAAATACATGAGGAACTCAGCGTTAATCACAGTGACTCAGCCCTCACAAACGAATAAATAAATATTTTAGTTGTTTAAAGCTTACATGTCGTATGTACGAAGTAATAATATACGTTCATACATTTACAGAGTGAAAAAAGTTAGGTTTTGGCACTTTTAGGTCAAAACGTTAGCTGAAACAGGCTAAATGTAAGTTGAGTTCTCGGCCTTGTCGGAGCAGGAAGTAAACTTGTAAGCGTCTCTTATCTCGAAGAAACTGTCCAACAAAGGTGTTTTCACAGCCGTCACCTCATAAACAACAGCATCGGATCAGTGTTAATGCCTTACCGTTCAAATTGGCGCCTGTAAACTCTCTGTTCTCTTTGCTGGTAGATGTCTGTGAAGATTTTCTGAAGAAATGTTCAGAGCTACAGTGAAGGCGAGCCGAGCCTGAGCAGCTCATTGAGGTCCCAGAGGTTGGAGACTTCTGATTGGTTGCCGCGTGTGACTTCTCGAACGTGATTGGCTGTTGCCGATGTCTTTCAGTTTAGCGCTCCGAACAGGATGTGGAAATTTCAACGTAAAGAGCGCAACTCCACCCAAGTTAGAGGCAAACATCTGGCCGCAATCTTCGTAAGGGAGGGCGGAGGCGGCCCCGCATTCCAAGCAGCGCTTCATGCGAGCTGGAACGCGTCCGAGGAATGACTGGCACTGGCTGCACTGAGTGAGAGCTTTCTGCAGAGGGAAACACTTAGAAGTTGATGGTGGTAAAGTGCATCTTTCCCCTCAGCGCCGGTAATTCAACCGGGAAGTGCTTAGCCTTTCAACGGAAAGAACTGATCAGAAAATGGAATCAGATGTTAATACAACGCTGTAAAAAACAATGCGTGAGAGTTTATATTAAAATATAATATAATTATCATAGAATACCGGGGGGTAGTTATAAACTCATGGGCGGTTCTAGGCAGGGGCCAACAGGGGCCAGTGCCCCTTTAGATCGTGTCTTGGCCCCTGTTATGCCCCTTGTACTGATGACATAATACTAAAATAAATTCTAATGATGATATGTGCTGCAACAGACATGGTTACTGATAGGTCCTTTGGGTCTATTTCACTTGTTTTTTTCTTTACAAATTCTGTTTTACTAATTATTTAAAAACAACAAGGTGATAGTTTCTATGGTATTGAGATAGGATCCCTGCTAAATGTTTTTTTTCAAAGCAAGTAAATTATAGATGAGTTTATCAGCTTTTCTTGAGTTCTAATTCAGATTTTATAGAAAACAGTAATTTTAACTTAAATTAAGTAAAAAATATGTAAAATTCCTAAATAATGAATGTATATAACACCCTTGTTTATAGATGTTGGGGATCGGCCTGTTTTCCAGTGTAGTCCTGTTTCTCTGACTGTGACTGGCTGGATGTGCTCTCTTCATCCTCTGACATGGGAGTTGGCTCGGAGCTCGTCTGCCTGGCTGTGTGTTTCCTGGACTTTTACAGCTGCTTTTTGTATCTCTGCTTCTGTCTCCTTGAACCCCAGTCAGCCTCGGCAGATGGCCGCTCACACTGAGCCTGGTACTGCTGGAGGTTTCTTCCTCTCCACTGTCGCTACAAGCATGCTTAATAATAATAATAATAATAATAATACATTTTATTTAACAGCGCCTTTCTGGACACTCAAGGTCACGTTACAGAGAATAAAATGAAAATACAAATCAAAACAACGGGATGACAGCTGAAGTCAGGACGATCGAAGCAAAGGCAAGTGCTTTTGCTCTCATTTGAATGTGAGTACATGGCCCAATGTTCCGTAAAAACGTTAAAAATAACTTAAAAACAGGTAGCGGAGAGCAGCGGCTGCAAAAAGCCCCAGCGTCCACTCAGCCGCGCATGCGTAAAGAGTGTGAGGGATTGCATTCGAGTCAATGAGTCGATGCAATCAACTGGTTTTCCTTAGAAAACTTTGAATCAATTTGACTGGATGATTTGCTGAACTGTAAAGTACCTTGAGATGACATGTTGTGAATTGCCGCTATATAAATAAACTTAATTGAATTGAATATATTGACCTAATAAGACATAGAATTTTAATTAAATCTAATTGAATAGTAATTTCACTTCATGCAGCTATATTATAATATATTTGAATCCCTTGCCCTGTTTTTTATTTCATGCTTTTCTGTGCCCCCATTCCGTGCACCCTCCTGCCCCCCTGATACATTTGGTCTTAAACCGCCACTGTATAAACTGGAGTCCAAATTGTACAAGCTGTTAGATATATACCTTTCAAATTGTTGCAAATAAAAAATGAAGTGTGTTTTTAAACATTCCCTTTGCCTCTAAAAAGTGCACACAGTTGCTTTCTTAAATCAGCTAAGTATCCCACAAAATCTAGCTATGTGTATTTTAATCTATACTCCTCCATGAAGGCTTAAGGGATTTGTTAGGAGACATTTGTGACATAGTCACCACTGTAAAACTTGGTGGTGGCAGTATAAAAACTGTAGCTGTGGCCTCCACAAGTCCGTCCTCTCTGAAAACTTGGCAAAAATAGGCACAAAAAAGTGGTGGCAGTATCATGCTGCAAAAATCCTTTATTTCAGGGGAGGGAAGCCTTTGGGTTTCATTGTTTCAAATATGAATTCAGTCACCTTTAAGTTTCTTGCTTGTGGAAAAAAATCTAACATTTGTTTTCTTGACAATGTTAATTAATTCTTAATTAATTACATAAAGTTCTGTATGTATTGAAAGAAATGTGAACATGTTAAAAGGACAGTAAGGGCTCTGAAAGCAAAATGATGAAACCAAATTAAAACAATTCTTTATATGGGAAGATAGACAAGATCAAAAAAGTTTATTTTTTGGTTAAAAATCCTACCTGTTTTCACATAAAGACCTTTCTATTGCCTTGCTACCAAAATGTGCTAGATGTTTAAATTTGCATTGTTTTATCTCTAAAGCAGGTTAAGAGATTCTCAGTTTTAATTTGCATAAATAGTTTCACTTTGTGCACTTTTAAAAGGGAATTCATGTCTTTCACTGACTTGCAGAAAAATAAAATGCCGTGTTACATGTTTTAAACCTTCTACTTGGAATGTAGCAGGTTAAAATGTATGTAAAGACATTCATACTTAAAGATTATTTGTCCTACTGTTTTTTTTTTTATTTTGAGAAAAAACATGATAGCGTATAAACAGTCAAAAAATTTCAAATTTATTTACATAGCTCAAACTCCAAACAAAGTGAATATCGGGTTTCTGTATAAAAAAAGATAACTGGTTTAAGTTCAAATCTGAACGAAGAACAAATGTTCCTTTATGGTCATTTTGTCAGTATTCTACACATCTCTAGTTCCCTCTTAAACTCTAATCTGCAACCCCCTTAATCTCCACTAGAGGGCAGTGTTTATCGGATACATTTATGGTATACAAGGATCAGTGTTGCACGAAATATTAGTTTTGCTTCTTTGTTTTTTAATTCAAGGTTCAATATTTATTTATTTATATTGAATATATTATTTCTTTCTCTGTAAAACACACAAACAGTAGAACACGTAAACTAAACAATGAGCCACCCTACCTCACCAGACAGCACACGAAGTATAAAAGTACACCATAGGTATCCAAGGGCTTAAAGTGACCAGTTCTCAGTGGATTTGATATAGGGCTGAAACAATTATTCATGATTAATGGATAATTGAAATAATTGTCAAGTAATTTAGTAATTGATTAAGCTTTAACTAGAGAGTAGATACTCTAAAATATGCCTTTAGCTGACAGAGTAACTCACTTACAGCAGTATTTATACCAAAATTATAAAAAAAAATTTGTAAACATTTTGTATTTAAGATAAAAATCTTTTTTTGTCCGTCAATATGCGCTATCCACCACTCCTCCAGTGGAAAAGCTTTATTTTTACTTTGTTTAATTTGACAAAAAGTCTTCTTTAAGGAACCTTTGGCTGTCTGATAATTAATTGATTGATCGAAAAAGTTATCGACAGATTAATCGATTTGCAGAATAATCTTTAGTTGCAGCCCTACTGTGGTCTTTAACTTCAGATTTTCAGAAGATAAGTCTTCTTCAGTGTAGAAAACTCATATTACTAGCAACGTTTCAGATCTGAAGGTATACAGCATATTCCAGAGAGGATGTCTGCATTTTAAGAAATATCTCATCCCTACCCTGTACAGTATAAGGACGAATTTTAAAGATTTCCTTGTACCAAGTGGTGATATTAGGAAAAAGAGTTTTGGTCCTTTTAAGTAGTTTCTAGTATTGAAGAAGACTTTTCCAGAAAGCCTATAATCTAATACAGCAAAATGTAGGTTCCTAGAACGAGGCCAGGGAGGAAAGCCTCTTAGTTTTAGTTTTGAATATAGCCCTGATTTCAAAATTCAGAAACCTGTTTACATTCACAAAGTCATGGAAATAATCCCTCCTTTCTAAAATGCATTTAATGCATTAATAAGAAAATAATTAATCAATTGTGTTTAAAAAACAGGAGTAAGAAGCAATCTATGCTGTATTTTATATTTGGCTTCCCTTAGTTCTTTACGCGTAGCTTTTGAGCCAATCAGTCTTATTGCTGTTTGCTAATTGGCTTTAATTTTTTCGTTAGTCAGACCTCTTTCCCAAATGGAGTGAAATATCTAATAGATGATATGTTAGAGCTAAGGAGTTTGTAAAATGATGCAGTAAAATGTTTCCAGTCTTTGCACTCAAGATCTAATCTCTTAGAATCACTTTAAGGACTAATGGTATTCCCGTATGGCTTTTAAAACTTCCTCCTCACCTCTGCCTGTGCCTTCTGTACCTTTAATAAAGAACCACATTTCTCATCCTACAAAGAAATGTGGTTCTTGTCTCAGAGAAAGATGTGCATTCTGAGCTATAAAGGTTCTACTACTTCATTTGTATCAGTGGTTTTAGGACACCGCCCTCCATTGTTGTCTATGAGAGAAGGGATTAGCGTTGCTACAGATTGAAGTGAGACAGGAGAGCTAGCAAACGTCCTGGTTTATTACCCGATTCAAGTAATTAATGCTCTTTTTTGCCTAGAAGCTACTGCAAGATTTTCTAAACTGACCTTCCAACCTATCTACTGTCCTTTCCAGATCCAGCTGCTTTTGGGCCTCTTTCATATGTGCTGATGTGTAAAATATAATTATCCAACATATATATTTTTTACGAGCCTTCCGTAGTGTAGAGGCATTCGTATCTTGTGATTTATTTATTAAATTGACAGGTTACTTACAGTGGCTTTGAATATCCAGTGTCTATGAGCTGGGTCTCTACATAGGGGGGAAATAGTTACACTGATATGAAATTTGTGCCAATTATACTTAACTTTTCGGCTCAAATATGTCTCCAAGATTACAAGTAGGTTATTCTGAAAAAAGGATCGATGAAGAGATGAACAAAAAAAAAAAAAAATGTAGTCCTTTTGTAGAGGGTGAAATATCCTATCATGATAATTTAAATCTAAACCTTGACAGAAATCTTCCATTTTTACTCTTTAACTGGAGTAGCAGGATGGGCGATATATCAATGTTCAAGTTAAATATACAATTAAAGTCACCACCTAGTAATAAAGATCAAGACAGAATGAATTGCTCAATCATATTCTTTCTTGTTCTGTTCCACAGATGTGCATGTTGATAATCAGTGTCCTGTGTTGGCCCAGCTGAGGGTGTAGGAGCTGTGAGCACTTTCTGTGCTGCGTTTCAGGACACTGTGACCCTCTCCTGAGGAGCTGTGAACCAGGTGCATTCCAGAGGCTTCAAGGCCCCGAAGGACACTGAACCAGTAGCGGAGAACCTCCTCATCGCTGCCTCCCACCTCAAAGCCTGCCCAGTGCAGGTGCACAGTGGAAACCAGATGATGAATGTTCTGCAGAGTCCCCATCTCGATCCAGCTCTGAAAAATCCGCCACTCTGCACTTAACAGGTCAGCATACACAAAATGAACCTGAAAGGAGATGGAAATATTGACATATATAGGCTGTAGTTTCTTCATAAGTGCTAAATATTGTATAATTTAAGGATTTAAAAATTTTATTCTGAAATAGATAACTTTTATATCATTTCCACATTAAATACCCACATAACTCACCATAAGTCAGAAAAATGTCAATGAAATAGTGTTATATCACAGATTGGCATCTGAAGAATTGGAATTAAAATCCTGGTCCTGACTTTCAGAGCCTTGCATGGTCAGACCCTGCAGTACAGTGCTGTATCCCTACTCTTCTTCAACACACCCTTCGGTCTTCCACTCAGAACCTCCAGAGGGTCCCAAAAACGGGTTTAAAAACCCGTCCCTTCAGGCTTTAGCTCCAAGATTGTGAAATGACCCTCGTATGGTCAAAACTTCAAACATTGCTGTTTAAAAAAGCCTTTGCATAGTGAATTCTACACTTTTATACATCTACTGTATGTATGTTAATCCCCGTGTGTTTTATTTTATGCATTCTATGTACAGTACTTTGGGATTTCTATCTGTGAAAAGCCCTTTATAAATTACTTTTACTTATTACCGTACTTACCAAAGTAATGATAAACAATAAAAAAAAGAATACCTGATGACCATCATCCAAGTTATTGGATATAAGATGGGTGGAAAAATGTAGTATTAGAGATGCACCGAGCCAGTTTTTTCCCAATCGGATACTGATACCTGGGCTGGGCGTGTTGGCCAATATCAGATACCTAACTGTTGAATGAATAAACAGTATATCTTGCAGTGAAGGCTTTAGCCTTGGCATAACAATTTTTACAAAAAAAGATAAAAAATTTAACACAGATATGAATGTACTTTATATTATTTATTATAAAATAAGTGGCAAAAAAGAGAGAACTAATAGTTTAATGTAAAGTGCACTAGATTGGATCCCTGATTTCCAAAATAAATTTGCCGATATCTAATGCAGCTACTTAGTCAACATTAGAGCTGATATCGTATCTGATCGGTGCATCTCAAATTAGCATCCAAACAGCTAAAAGGAGCTTCATTGTGTGGCTCAGCCTTAGAGATGAGGAGTTCAGTTTAAATTAAGGAGTTTAAATCAAACATTTGATCAGGGCTGCTCCTGGGTGCCTCCCTTTAAGAATTTTTTTGCCAGTGAGTAACACTGACTTTAGGGAAGACCCATGAGTGACCTGAAGAACCAACACATCGGTATCCTCAAGAATGATTTGGACAGTGCTGCTTGGGTGAAATCTGTCTCTGTGGGCCACTTTAAAGAAGACATTGTGTTAAACCCAAATAGGTTTTTTTCATTAGATTTTCAAGGCACATCCATTGAATTCTAAAGAATGTATATGCAAATACCTGCTCGGGAGACTTATAACAATTATACAGTATTATAATGATATTGTGTTCACCAGCTACATTTGTGAACTTCAGTGAAAAATAGTTAGGATTGTTACTCTTAATATTATTGGTGAAAGTTTGACTAACTAAGAGTGTGAATACTGCATAATCCTCATCTTTTCATAGGTTTTGTATTAAATACTTCACGCCCCTCTCCATGTCTAGTAAACCCCTCTATTATCAGCCTATATTAGAATGAACCAACATAGAAGTCTAACTCAGACTGCAGGTATGTAACTCCCTCTTGTGGCTGCCGGATGTAGCTGGCTCCCCTGAATGAATCACTCACTTAAACCGTTGCCATAGCAGTCAGAGATGGCGCAGAGCCCTGTTACCATGGCAACAACCAAGTAAAATTGCTTTCTGGGTACACTGGGGTAAAAAGATTGTGAGGTGTGTTTGTTGTTGTTTTGGGGTGAAATTTTTAATTGCTTCTGCTCGCGTCTCTTACGGTGTGGTGTCCCAGCTCTGCCATGATGTCAGCCAGCGTGTGAGAAACCCCGCCCGGGCTGCCGCTCCACCTGTGCCTGTGCCTCTTTGGAGCTCGCCATTCCAGCCACAATTTGTGCTGGCTGAAGACGCCCCTGTTGCCATGGTTACTGGCCAAACTGTTGCCAAGGTGACCAACAGATGCACTGGAGGTGCTGGGATCAAAACGGTGGATTTCACATCCAAGCCTGGAGACAGTGCTCAGAAAGTCTGCATCTCCTCCATCCAAACTGGCGAGACAAAAGAAAAGCAGTCAGTAAGACAGAGGCTTAGAGAAGTGGTTAAAAAGATTTCTGCACCCATGATTAAATATGCATCGCATTAGTTTGAATGCAGCCGAGCCAGTGATAAGAATGCCTGAGCTTGCGATGCAGACACCTGAAAGAGTAGGCAACGCAGAGTCTGTGTGGAGCTGGAAGCAACCAGTCCTCTGCACACAGCAGCCAGCGAGCTGAAGCCACGGGGGGCGTCACTGCCTGAGCCTTCCCTGGAGGTAAAACCCTGGAGCAGTTCAGCTGGGGACAGGCAAGAAAGAGAAAAAGCTCATGACATGGAGATGTGAGAACCATCTGCCTCAGAATGAGCACTGACATGAGAGGAAGGTAAAGAATAAGAAGTGGTTTGATGAACAGTCTTCTGAAATTTGGAAGCGTTGACACCACATATGTGTGACCTATCAGCTCTTATTTTTTACTTTTCTTGAGCCAGTTGCAGGCACGTTAAACTTGGGCTGAATACCTAAAATGATCAAACACACCAGCACAGTATCCCACTTTCAACTCAACAGTTCCCCCCTTTTAGTTTCCCAACATTTGTTATTGTGCAACTTTTAAACTATTCTTTGGGAGTTTCCAGTCTGGAACAGTCTTTTCTGGCTCCAGATTTGGCAGAATGTTGCTGCCAGCATATTGACAGCACCTGACTGATATTACTGCTGTGTCAGGCTCCCACGCGAGTCTGCAGTCAGAGAAGGCCAGTACAGCTTATGAAAGCGGAGGGTTTTCTTCTTTTACTATTGATTGCTGTTCATATTTGGCAACATCTATCCCATAAAGACATTTTGTGCTTTGTGCTCACGTCTTACTGGATATCGTCATGAAAGGATGCAAGAGTTTGACAAGAGGTTGAAGATAGGGAGGGGTCTCCCTGAGGGGTTGCAAATCTAAGCTGTCATAGATGTGAAGGAAAACAGGGGGGGAAATCTTGAAGCCAAACTTTTTCAACATGACTTTATTGTTTTTTACTCTGATCTATCTTTAGAATTAAAGAAAGTATCAACATCTATGTCGGTTTTCCACATTTTGTTGCAAATTTTATGTATTTTATTAGCAGGTAAACTTAGACTTAGAGACTCAGACTCAACTTTATTTATCCCTTTATTTACTCCTTCAAGGAAATTCTGGTTCCAGTAGTTTATATAGAATACAAAGAGTTAAAGCAAGATGCAATTAAAGATCAAAATACAATTGTCAATAAAAAAAAGAGTGTATATAGTACAAAAAAAGCATAAGAAAAGTTGTAATGTTCTGATGTAATGTTTCTTTTAGATATAAAAATATCTGCACAGTAGAAAGCTAAGGAAAGACTACACAATAGTAGTCTTTCCACTGCAGAGATGTACAAACCAAGACAGACTAGTGGACAATCCAAAACCACTAATCAACCCTCTTTACTCTGATGCCCCTGAATGAAATTATTAAAAAGGCATACAAGTAATAAGAGTCCAAATGTAAATGATGTAATGAACTACAGTGCTATGAGGACCAAGGGACACAGCAGATTAAAGAAGTCCAGCTCAGTCCAAAGCCCATGGATAGGAGAATGTAGCTCCAACCTAAATAAATTGCTTCAGTTGGTAACAAGTAATTAAATTAAGTTTGTTCAACTTAATCTATTTATGTTGTCAGCTTATAAACTAAATAAAGATGGATCAACGTGATTCAATTACCTCTTACTAATTGAAGCGATTAGTTTAAGTTGGAGGTGCATTTTCTTTGTAGTGTATTAGCCAGGTACTCTATAAAAGTCCAGTTTGAGTTTTATCCACAGTAGGGAGCGAAAGGCAGTTCAAAGCATTGACTCAGTTATGCTGAATATATGTATAATATAATATGTATGCAGTTCCTTTTAGAATATTACTTGTCAAATGTTGAAAATGAAAATACTACAATTTCACTTTAACTTTACAATCATGCAAAAGGTTTTACTTTGTTCTATCGCCTAAAGTCCATTTGAAATATTTTAGGTTTTGCAGTTTCTTGGCTGCAGAGTTTATACTGTAGATAGCTAGAGAATGATCCTTTATAATGTATTAAGCCCATTTTAAATATATTTTTGCAAAAACATTCAGCTGTTAATAATTCAAAGGAATTACTTTTTTGTTTATTTGCAACCCTGGACTAACTCACCGTAGTCAAAAATGTTATTTAATTTACAAAATACTTTGTGTTTCAGTATTTTCTGTTGGGCCTACCTGAGGGCTTGTGATATACTTGATAATGCGGCTGAGTTCTGCAAAGAAGGACGGCTTGTTCGCCGCCCACAGCTGCTCCTCCATCACTCCGGGTCTCACCTGGGAGCATATGTACAAACTATATATCAATATGCTGCAGACAGGAAAGTAATAGACGATTCCTGAGAATTAGGAGGGAGGCTTAATAATGCACGGAGATGACAGAAAGAGAGGAGCAGGAAGGTCATAAGAGCTGACCCCAGGCTTGTTGGTGTTTGCCAGAAGTTTTTCAATACACAAACATACACACACACACAAAAATACCTCTCTCTAACTCCTAACGCCATGGCAACCTCTGTGGAGCAGGAGGGGTGCAACAGAATGAGTCAGAGAGTTTAGCCTTGGGCAGATAAAGAAAGGGAGAGTAAGAAAAGAGAAAGGCAGAGGGGAGCCGGAGAGGAGGAGAAGGAAGGTTTTGGGAAAAGTAGAAACAGACGGATGTGTACTCAGAAACACAGAAAGCGTCTGAGGATGGAGGCACAATCTGTCCAACCTCAGGGCACAGACAGAGAAGATAGACCAGCTGTCATCTTCCTCTGATCTGGGGTCAGGGCAGGGCTTGCCCCTTGCTCTCACCTGTTCTGTCATGCAGGTAATAATTCACAGAGCGTCACAGAATTTGGCCTAGCCCATGCTGGATGAGGACACCTTATCAGGAGGGCTTTATCTGCATTCCTCGGCGTGGAAGGCCCATTTGAAATTAATCTTTTTTTTACATGGGGGGGGCCACTGGCCTCCCACTTTCACCATGAAGGTTTTCTGTGGCAAGATGTGTTTCATTGCAGCTTTCCTACAACATGTGCAGAAATATCACATATGTCTTCATGCTTGTTTTAAAGCATACAGTATATGATGCCTCATTCGTCTGTTTTATCATTGCCCAACTCTAACGATCACTCTGACCATGTAACTCATTAACAGCTTCTTTCTTCTCACATTTTTTCTTCATTCTGATCAGAGTTCAGCAAACCTAACAATTTATAAGTAATTTTTGCTCTTTTTCTTTCTATACTGAATTTGTCCAGAAACGTAATTAAAAAAGATGGTTTTAAATGTTTTTTTTTATTTTTACAAATGCTTGTATAGCATTGTAACAATCCCAATTGTCTTTTCTAATATTAGTTTATACATTAAAGAAAAAAACGGGCAGTTGCCCAACAAATAGTTTTCCTAAATGGAATATTCTGTTGGACAAAGATAAAACAAACCATTTACAGGTTGATAAGAAAAATCTAAATAAAATTAGAAAAGAAAAAATATTATGCAAAATATATGTTTCACAAATTGAACACAGGAAAAAGGTGCTTTTTGTTTGGTACAATGGAATTGCTAACCTCAAAGCTAACTTCTATATAAGTTTTGCTGAGAGTTTGATAGAGCCTCTGTGGAGGGGCTAAAGGTCCATGTGCAGCCTCAGAGCCCCTAGCTTAGTGTTTTAAGTATTGTTTAAACCTTTCTTGTCCTCTAATTTTGACACATCTTTTTATCGTTTTCTCAGCCGAAAATCCAGCTACTTATCTAGAAAGCACTAAATGTTCTTGAGGGTTTAGGTGGTCCAATGTCCTCTGGAACAGATTTACTACTTTAGTTCTTGTGCTCCCCACCAGCTGTTTCTGGCTGAATCATTCTACTAAAACTACAGAATAATCACCTTTATTGCAGAGTTTCACTAAATTAGTAAAGCAGAATAAAAATAGTACACATTCTCTTTGATTTATATATTTTTTTGATTTCTTTGGTACTTATTTCTTTAATTCCAACTATTGATTTTATTCTACTGGAATAGACTCAGAGTGGTTTAAAGCTAGCGTTGGGTCAAAAAATTTGATCAAGTTTGTTTTTATTATTCTTCACAGCCAGCCATTTTAAACTTTATAACAAGTTGATCAAACTGTATTGAAACGCCTTCTTGAAATATGAAACTGTTAAACAAAGTATATAGATGTGAGGGGGGTGCTGTACTGGCTTTAGGTCACAGTATTGATGTGTTTGCGCTATTAACATTTCCTTAGCATTGTATAATATGAATATTAATCTCTTTTGACACTAAAAGATTAAGTCAATATTAAGAGGTTGTTTTGATCTATTCATAAACCAAAAGAGTCTCTCATTTAATGTGAGTTATTAGTATAAGTTATAAGTATTAGGTTATTTTTTTAATACTCATTCTTTAATAAAATTATAACTTGCAACTTAAACACACCGTCTACATCCAGATGTCAGAACATGCACAATGTTTTTTCTTTTTTTTAATGTTTGGAAGCTGTGAAAAAATTTTTTTTCACTGTATGCTATTTTAGATGTAGTTAACAGAATTCATTTGTTTTTAATTAACAAAGCGATAAGCCATGATTCTGGTTGTTTAAAAAACATTGAAAGAGACCTGTGACCTGAGTAGTATCCAAGTTATTATGATTCTATTGGTTAAATCAGCAACTTATATATATTGTTTTATCTGTTTATAGGTTCTGTAAACTGTATTGTACAACATAGAACACACTAAATCACTGGACATTAAACACATTTATTACTTTTATTGTTTGGTTTTTACAATCAAAATAATGTTTATGAGCTCTTTTTTTATGTATAAACACACACAAATTAGTTTTAAAAACTTGACAATTGTATCTGTATTCTAAACCAACCTCTTCCATCTCGTTCTCATCCTCAAACCCTCGCACCACATTCCTCCTCGGATCTCCGTCCTGCATCTCCTTCTCCTCCTCCAACCCCGGTCGCCTGAACTGGGCTCTCCAAGCCTGGCCTGTGGAGCTCCTATCCGGTTCGATGCTGATAACGGTGAGGGCAACAGCTCCGTCCCTCTCCTCCACCCACAGACGCACCAGGACCAGGAGCTGCACAGTGAGGAGAACCGGCAGGATCAACAGCAGCAGGAGGAGGCCCGCTCCTGAACGGGGGGACAAACCAGCCAGCTCCCGCATGCCTCCTCCGTGGATGAGCCGCAAAACATTTTCCTGTAATCCAACTTTTTGTCTCTTCTCCCCAGGGCAGAGAGGAAAGTCCCAGCTGGGTCCTCCTCCATCCCCTCCCTCCATGTGGCCTCCTCCTCCTCCTCTTTGGACCTTACAGCCCTCAGGGGGAACTTTGGATGACGAGGCGCATTCCTTAGTCAGTGGTGGTCCTCTTCAAAATGCTGTTTTATTTATCTAACAAATAACTGTAGAGTCAACAATCACCAAAGGTAGTAGAGAGGGAAAAAGCAGCAGACATTCAAACATCGGAGTCACATTTAAACAAAAAAGGGTAAAAGATGAATTTCTTGTTAAGATTCATCTTTATCTCAGAAAGAGCTTTTAACAACAGTAACTAGCATACTAACAATATTTTACTCACTATAAACACAACCAGTTCCTTTTTATTTAAATAAATGTATTTCTCTGCCAGCCAACTGAAGATTTTTTAAAGTTTTGCTTTATTTAAAGATGAAAAAACAAACTTTACACTGGTCAATCTGTAACAATATTAAAACCTCCAAACTCCAAGGAAAGAATAATTTGTCTGCCACTTTGTTGGATTTTAGTCTGTGATTCTATAAATACTTTGTCTTCCCTATCATCCTTACATTTTCAAACACACTTTTTACACTATTTTTACACCTTAATCAGTAACAGTGTATCTCTATAAGTCATTTTTTTAACTATTAGAAATCGTTTGGATTACAAAGAAAAAGCCCAAACAGTTTCCTTTTTGCTTGAAATATTTTAGCTTTAAAAAGCTGTTTTAATAAATGCTCTCAGATGAACTATGATGCCTCTTAGGTTCTATGTCAGGTCTTTATTACTTTAAGAAAATATTTTTATTATTATGCAGAAATATGCAGCCGCATCTTTTTTGATCCAAATCCTAAATTTAGGTCGCAACAAGAATAGAATATTGGACATTTTATACAAAAAAAAAAAACATCCTTAATAGAAAGTATGAAATAGAAATTTTCACCAAAAACTAGGTGCAGATTTTGAACCAGTGCTCTCCCATTAAGCCTTCTTTGTGCTGAAAAAGGATAATGTGGAAAAAAAGGTCCTTTCAAAATTTTTACATGAAGTGAATTAATTGACTACTTACCACTGTTGCATTTAAGGTGGTGATTTGTGTTTGTTATCAAAACACTACCTGCTAAGAGCTCATTCAACTATTGCTTAAACTGCTGTACTTTAGGTGGAGTTCACCAGTGGAATCTTATTCACCATGGTTTCAATTTTAAGTTTTTTCTTTACCTGCTCGCGCTGTATTTCTCAGCACTTGAGACTTTTTAAGTACTAATTAAGCTGAATGGAGGTGACAATGAAGAGTGGTGAGTTCTTGCAGTTTTTTTTCCTTTTAATGGAGCCTAGGCGGAAGTTCAACTAAATAAACGTATTGCTTTTCATACATCCACCTGTGACACAGCCAATCAGCTTTGAACCACACCTCCACAAAAGCCAATCAGCATCCAAAGTTCATCTTAAAAGGCCTCCGATAAGCACCTGTCTGCTCCTGTGCACAGGCGGAGGATGCACTGTGTGACTTAATTCAGATGACACCGTTTTAACCCACCTCCTGCCCCTCCTCCACCTTCGTAGCTAAAGCTTCAGGGTGTCATTCCTCCTGCACTGCGTTCCCTGTCTCATCTTAACTGGTCCGGCAGAAGACCGTTGAGCCTGGTTCTGCCAGAGGTTTCTTCCCAACAGGGAGTTTTTCCTCTCCACTGTCGCTTCATGCTTGCTCATCATGGACAGGTTCTCTCAACCTGTGTTATCCAACTGGACTTCCATCTTCCAGGTCTCTGAATGAAGCTCTAGCACCAGCTCACGCAGTCCACTGGATCTCACCATAAAGCTCAGCATACTGTCTTGCTAACCAGCAGTCTACAGACTGTCCAACTTCATCTATCTCAACTCCACCACCGGTTTCAGACCTGGGGGGGAAACAGTCCTATGCTTTGCTCCTTTTCATGCATATCTATCAAAATTAGTGAGGTAATGACAGGGTGCAACATGTTTGACTTCTTTACAAACGTATTTTAACATATTTTATAAAAGTGGCTCCATTGCAGCTGGGATCGGACTGCATGTAATTAGGTTCTCATATAAAATTGGACTGATGTTGATTTTGGAATGAGTTGGATTCTATATAACTTGATATAAATCTGAAATGTTTGTCTTCTTCTGGTGCATACACAACATTCATTGTAAATCTGAGCTATGGTGTTCAAGAGGAGGCTTGTTTGTGAAATTAAAATGCATTTTAAAAATGACAGGCTTTAAGCAGGCATTAGGAACATACTCTTATTAAGTTCTTTTTTTTCATTGGACTGATTTAATATTCTCATCTTAAATGTTGTGTTTTTATTAGCTGCAAGCTGAAAATTATGACAATTATGTATTAAAAGGCTTTAAACGTCAGTGTGTGTTAAATGAATCTGTATCATGTGTTTCCCTTGGTGAATTGAAGTGAATATGTCTTTAGGCTCATGCTTTATACCACTTAATATTATTGGACATAAAAGGAGAGAGAGTAAAGCGCCCTGAGACCTAAGGATTGACCTAAGTGCAAATGTTATTCAAAGGTCACCATGGAAATTACAGTTGGCTGTGATTTTTAAAGGCTTGTTGAAAAAATTGAAAACGTCAATGCTTATAAATATAGAACACTGTAAAAGTCAGGGGTAGAGAGCAGATGCCCTCCTCCCCCTAACGCTCGGTCTGTCATGTCGTGTTGTTGACAGAATGTGTCCCCCGTCTGCCGTACAGTGGAATGTCACAGCAAACATGTTTCCTCCGGCCATGTCTGAGTCTATTTAATCAGCCTGTTGACAAACTGTACACAATCTGCGGCCCGTAAACTTCCCCCATCTGCTTTCACTCTCCATCACTCTGTGCGTCGGTCTGGCGCACGCATCCACACAAGCTGTGGATTTACAATATTTCTGTCTCACAGCAAGTTCCCTTTTAAACATGGCCTCTTTTTCGACCAGCCTTTTTAACAGTTCCTTCATTTTCATCCTTGTTCTGGGTAAAGATTAGATGTGTTGAAATAAAATGCTTTGTGGATTTCTTTCTCTGCATTTAAACCCTCATCACTTTTGAAAATGTTCCTCAGTCTGGTTTCTTTCCAGCTTCCAACACGTCCTGCATTACTCTCCTCATCACTCATTCCTCTCCTCCCCTCTTTTTTTCTTTTTTACTCCGTCGAATCATGTCCTTATTTGAACTCCCTCCCTCACATTTGCAGGCAAAGCCCAGTACTTACAATGGCTTTTAAATCACATGCAACCACCCCCTTTTATCTGTTGAAGAAAACTGCACGACACAGGCAAGTTTACCAATGGCAAGAACGTAATGTGTATTTAAATATTTTGCACCTCAGATACATACATGATATGTAACAGACAGATATACAATTCATCTTTTTTTCTTTTCATTTTTTTGCAGCACAAAAACCACCAAACAACACAAGACCACAGAAAAAAGGAGGGAGAGAGTGAAAGAAAGAAAGATAAAAGAAAGAAAGCCCCGCCAAGACTTTGTCGTCTCTGGAGCCTTAATCCTTTTGACCCCACAGGCGCACACACATAAACACACACACATATATAGGAAACAAAAGCAAACAAACCTACAAATACATGCATCACTGCAGTCACGCAAATCCATTCTCTGTCTGGAGTCCACACACATACAAAAAAAACAAAACAAAAAAACAAAAACCAAGAGTCTCTTTGGGGCTGTTGTGTAATTTCAGTGTCTCTTTCCCTTGTAGTTAAAACAGCAAAACACAGGATGTTGAGTCTCCAAGCTGCAGTCCTCTTCCTACTCCTCTTCCTCCTCTCCTTCAGAGCGGAGCAGAGAAACCATGGCAAGTGGCAGAAGAGGGGAAAGTTTATGATGGCTTCCCCCTCCTGCCATCTTCTCCCCCCTTCCAGGCTTGGAGCTGAAGTCATATGTACAGATGCTGGTATTTCAAGAGCAGAAACTGATTTTAGTCCGCTTTTTCTATTAATGGGACACAAACATCAAGACGAAGTGCACAGAGCGAGACATTTGGCTAGGTTCATGGTTTTTCCCCAAAAAATAAAAACATACAAAAAAAAAAAGGTCGTCTTTTAGGCTCAGATGCGGCTCAGGTTGCGGCACAAGACAGTTGAGTGGTTTGAGTGCAGAACATTGCAGCTGGCTTTAGCAGTAAATGGGGAAGTTTTGGAGACAAAGACAGAAAGGGTGAGAGACAGAGAGAAAGCAGAGTGATCCTAATTTGTCTATACTGCAGAACAGAAATGGAAAGTACTCAGCGAAATACTGCATGTGTCACAGAAGGACCCAAAGGAATGGGGAAATAGGTTTGTCTCCGTCCACGGGCGCCTGGAGTTTGTCTGACATCCCTTCCTCCTTCCAGGGCAGAGTTCTCACGCATGATCATGGCAAGGTAGTGAACTAATCTGCACATGCGTTTCTGTGTGTTTTTATTTGCCTATTTCATTTCTTTCTAAGCGAGTGTGCGTGTGTGTGCTTGTGTTTTTGTACACGTGCATGCTTGAGCTTCATGGGTTGATCTTGATTGTCAGTGCTGGAGAATTAAAGCTTTACTGTCCAGAGCTGGCAGCTAAATTCTCACCCTTCAGTTCAGTCTCTCACAAAGAAGTCCCCTTAAAAAATATGTTTGCAAATCTGTAAAAGCTTAAGTTGAACCTGAAAAGAAAAACACAGACAGAGAAAAGAACATTAGATTTAAAAACAATAATTTCAAAGGAAAAAAACAATTGCAGAACTTCAAAAAATCAGTTTTAAACAAAAATATTTCTGGAAATGTTTCCGGTCAATGAAAAAAAGCACATTTAAGGCTTTTCATGATTAATATCTCCTTCCAAAATATTTCCACCCTTTGATTTTTTTTTTTCAATTCTCACTTTATAACCAACTGTATTTTATTAGAATTACACATGTGATAGAAAAAGATGGGGTGCATAAATCTAATAGGAAAACACCTCACTAAAAACTAGAGAAAAAATATTTAATGCATGTAGCCCTTTTTAATCTGATGCCCATAAATAAAATCCAAAGTGCAATTTAATTTGAGAATAAATGCAAGTAATTAACATCACTGAACAATTTACATCCTGTAGAACAATGGGACACAGCGGACAGATCATGGATACATTTGTTAGGAAGGAAGGAGAAGTTTAGATGAGTATTAAACAGTACTGTACAAAGAAGGAGCAAAGGAGCCCACAGCTCAGGTGGGAGCAACTATACAGTTGGGAAAAGGTGTTTCACATACAAAACGTGTTAAAATAAATAGTTCTAGGCTGTGAAAGTCACAAGACTTTGGCAGTGAGAAACCTAATCATATAGCCGGAGCTACTGTAGAATGATTTAGATTAAATAATATTCATGAACAAAGAACTGGCCCATTCAAAGTCTAGAATTTGTTGCAACAGTTATTTGTTTAAAGGTGCTCTACATACAGTCTGAACTTTTGTGTTAAGAAGAATGGACAAAATGTCAGCCTTCTGATGTGCAAAGCAGGTTGAAACAGCCCAGACAACCGTAGCTGCGGTGAAAGATGGTTTCAAATAAAAATGCATCAGGTATGCTTTTAAAACTATTTGAAAACTGTGTTTTTCTGCTTCACAAACATGCACAACTTTATGCTGGTGTGTAACTTCAAATCCCTAAAAGGTAATGAGGTTGTTTGTGAATTGGAGTTTATTGTATTTACAATGCATTAATAATCTTTTAGAAATCAAAACTGTCTAGAAACAGCAGGTCCACTTTAGCGAGCTGTCTGAAGCTGTTTTGCGACTTTAGTTTTGTTTTTAATCAATTAAAAGTTGCTCAGTTGTGCTGTGATGAGCTAATTCATCTGGCCAATGCAGTTTTCCACTTTCAGACGACCTCTCCGCTGCCTTCACATTAAATTTTAGGCTTTTATTGACTTGTAACTTTAATCGATATTCATTCAACTTTGCTGCATCTTACTGAATCTGAGCTGACAGTGGATCCCTGCACTCCAGACGTATGCTTGCAGTCAATAAAGACTGTAGTGTAAACTTCTGGAACATCTTATCTAATTTTTCATTTGTAAAACCATGTAAGACAGAATGACCACTGAAATACGAAGCTGCACACTGCATTAATAAAGAACAATCAAAGCAGTTTTTAGTAAACAGCAAACAGTACATATACTCAGAATTTGATCTGCAATCTTAATCTTTTGTAGATTTTTTCTTACAATACATAAATGGTGTTTATATACACCATTTATATAGACTTAAATATATCCATACACTGCTAACATTTATAGCAGCAAGGTTGAGACATACGGTAACCCTGAATGGATAATTCACTGCTCTTCTCAGCCGAACTGATAGGATTGATTTAAAATGGTCTGTTTTCTGCCATGGATCTTGTTTTTAAAGTAAAACAATTCCAGAAGCCTTGTCTAACATTGCTTCATCTGTTTAAAATTATGCATTTGAAATCATTGTACTGTAAGAAGACCAAATGCATCATGGTCTGCTAGACCATCCGTGAAACAGGCCCAAAGTATGATACTGACACCACTATGATTGCCGAATGCTTCAATGTTCTCAGATTTACTTAAAACATGCAAATCTCTTTGCTTCCAGTTACTGAAGCCACAGGAAAAAAATGAATGCACATGCAATTTTGTACACTTTATGTGGAATCTATGAAGCTCAGGCCCATAGTGTTTCTCCAGAAAACATTTCCTTTCTTGCAAAGGGCTGCAAATTTTATTTTAGCTTGAGCGAGTCACAAATGTATAGCTTCACTTCTTAGTTTGTTCCTGAACGTCCAAAAAAATATCTTTTTAGAAGGTTGCAGTTCTTGGAAATTGGTTTAAGACAATCAGGTGTTTAAACAGGATATTGATCCTTAATATGCATCAAAGCTGTTTAGGATTTGATAAAGACTGCCATAAAGCTTTTAAATTGGCTTTCCAAAAAGAAGAACCTGAAGGCTGTTGAAGATATGTGAAATTTAATAAGCTTTGTGCAGGGAAACTTAAAATAACTAAATATGCATGAGCCAAAAATTATTTTCTGCTTATAAAATATTTGGTGGGAATGTATTAAAGTAAGAACCTGTTTACATCATTTGACCCTTCATAGGGATAAGATAATCTAGAAGATATTTTGAGTTTTCTATTGTATTTCTACACTACACATGGTTTGCTCTGGAGATATAAAAAAGTTTCACATGAATTATAAAAAAAATCCATATTAAAGCTATAGTGGAGGATGTTCTTTTTCCAGATGGCTCGTCAAAATAAGTGGTCCTCCTAATTGTCAATCATTTTGGTGATATGTTTACGTAAGGCCGTCCTACGTGCTCGTCCCCATTTTCACTTACTGGTGGTGAGTCTGACATAGTGGAAAAATTGCACAACTTCTTTTGGAAAATAACCTTGTATGAGCGATGCAAACAGCAACTTTTAAACAGAGCGTGCACGAGGAGAAATGTTGTGAATTGGTGCTATATAAACTGAATTGAATTTCAATGTAGTGATGTAATATTTGCCATTTTAAAAACATACAGCCATATGATAACAAGTTGCTTTATACCAACCGCAGGCCCAGTTAGTTTTTATTAAATAATGATTACCAAAAAAAAAAGACTTGGATCTGGTCCTATAGGAGCGAAAAGAGGATACAATATCACTACAGTTGGTTTGTAAGGATTTTTTCTGACCATAACTGCACATCTGTTCCTTCTTCTCCTCAAAAGTCTGACTGTATTCTTCTAAGTCAGGGGTAGGCAGCGTTCTGTTTCCAAATGGTCATATTGACTTGGTTAACGGTATTAAAGGGCCAGACACAGGAGCAAAATTTCTCTCCCAGCAACAAGGCTGTAGGTTTCTTTAAACACGTTTTCTCTCCTTCTGATAAATTTTGTAAAACGCTGGCATGCTTGGTGGAAAAAAAGGTTTTTTTCAACAGTGTTACGCTCTTAGCATATCAAATAACTAGTCTGTGAACAGAAATTGTGACAAAATATTTCAATGTCAACAGCATTTAAATAAAAAAAATTCTAAGCCATGTTTAGTGAGGCAAAAACTGATTTAGCCACAAAAGTGAAGATAAAGTTTAATATGCCTGAACTTTTTCAATTGCCTTAAAATATATTGTTTTGTTCTTTGGTCCCTCTGGATCTACAGTATCTTATTAGTACTGCTCCATGTTTATCAAATGCAAGCAGAGTTGTTTTTGCTTGTTGAATCAGGCACAACTGGCCTTAGATTCTAGGGTCTGTATATTACGCTTAGCGGGAAAACCGGGTCTGATGTTTCCACTGTGTGCCGGTCGGAGCAGAGCTGTTTGAAGGAGATTTCAACCCTGGTTTCTTGCCGAGTCATATGACCCAGGTTGACATGGGTTATTGAGCAGTTCCCATTGCCACTTAAAGCAGGTTTTTCTGGGTTCAAACTGTTTTTTTGGCCAGTGGGAAAGGAGTGTAATATAGTTTCAACTCAGACTGGCTAGTATGGTATTTATTTTGCTTTATATACTAAATTTCTAGTTTGTTTTTTTAGAAGTCTACAGCCTGTCTCTACAAACAAACATTGTTTCTATTAGGGATGCAGTTAATTGAATTTGCATTGTAATTGCAATTTAACAAAATGCAATTTTCGAATCATGGTAGGTGTTCAATTTTGTTCACATCATATTCAACGGGAGTAAGATACTCAATTTGTCACTTCAGCCCTTTAGGTGGCGGTAATACATTTAAAGTGGGTTTGCTGCCACACATAGAGGTAGAGCATTTTAGCTAGCTTGCAGATCGGTGCATGCAAGTAGAATTAAGAACTTTTTCACACAAGGATTACAGTAAACTCCTGCAACAATGGACTCTTGACAAGCGAGCATTCAAAGTCTACGAATAAACTGAATCTCTAAAATTAAACATCTACAAGCTTGTTGTTAGTGCTAAGGAAAGTCGAAATAAAATGGCAATCTCAATATTGGTTAAAAATAATCGCAACTTTGATATTTGGTCAAATCATTTAGCCCTAGAATCTCAACCTTGTTATTGATTTATTTACTAACTTTAATCAGTACAGTTTAAGTGTAGGCAAAAACTTAACAGCACAGTAAACAGCTGACAAAAACAAACAACTAGCATCATATAAAGAGTAACAGTGAATTAAGACATTAAGGGTTTCCTAATGACTAAGGTAAAAGTAAAGTATATAAGGAATCAGAAAAATGAATGGAAAAAAGTAGAAAAACATAGTTGGGCCCTTTAAATAACCCCACACTGGATTTGTGGTTTCCTATTATTTATTTTTTTTGCAACAAAATTTTTTTTTTATATCTTTGCATTTTAACCTGATGCATCTAAATAATCCAGCTAAATAATAATAATCGAAAAAAAATTTATAAAATTTCTGGATGGGGTCTTCTTTGTTTCGTCTACATTTCGAGTTACAGGTAAATTCAGCCATATAAGTATCCTTGAGCTGCAAGCTGGATTTTGGCAAGATCTGAGTTTTCAGTCTCACAACAAATCCATCTTGAAAGGTTCTCGCTAATACATTCATCTCGTAACAACCAATGAGTCCGATCAATGATATGCCAACACGATTTTCTGGGGCGGGACATGTAGGAAAACGACAGTCAAAAGGGCCTTGCTTGGGGCATTAAAAAAATGACTACACTGAAGACCTCATCTGTCGACACAGCAACTGACTCGGTTTTAGTTAAAATAGCAGCAATTTCTTGTTTAAAGAAGGAGCAAAGAGAAGCACTTTGTGCCTTTATAGATGAGAAACATGTCTGTGCTCTTCTTCGGACAGGATTAGGAAACGTTTAATTTATCAGCTTACTCTGCTAGTGGTAGATCAATCAGGTGATATTGTTTTTTGATGTGATTGCGGACCCACCTGAATTCATAGAGTATGAAAACAAATTTTGTTACAGTTGATAAAATCTAGAGGCTTGTTCATTCTTCGACAAAAAAAAGTTTAACCTTAGTCGGAAGATTTATAAAGAATTTTTCAAGTAGAATTTTCAACAGGCCATTCTGAGGCATGAAAGTACCTTTACCTAAACATAGCTGCATATTTAAGGTTGTTTTGCTAGAAGGTGAGCCTCCGCCTACGTTTACCTGTTATAACAATAACACACCATGATGCTGCCATTACCTTGTTTCAATGAGTCCAGGGTAATATGCTGTTTTCTGTTTCTCCTGTTTTTTATTTAAGTCCAAAGGGTGATTTTTGTATCTTCAGATGCTAGCACTATTTTCCATGTTTGATGTGCCTTCTTCATTGCTTTTTTTTAAAGAAGAATTTACCAAAGCTGTGTTGGTTACTCCTCTGATTAATGCTTTGCCAGTTTAGGTGGACAGTCCTGACTGGTATATTCAATTGCAGAAGGATTAAACAGAGCTCTGAGATTTTTAACACTTGGCAAACAGTTGTCTAACCACATCCTGCTTTAAACTTTCACACAACTTTCTCCTTGATCTGCCTGCAGCATTCTTGGGTATAAAGCTATCAAAGCTTTAACAAAACAACTGGATTAATATTGAGATTAATTTAGCCACAGGTGGACTGTTTTTAGGAACTAGGCAACTTTGGGTGCAATAGACTTAAATTTGGTGTTAAGCCTCTTTTCCACTGAAATTAGCAAGTTAACACAGGTTTTTTAAACATGGGTCGACCCGCTGGCAATCAGCATTTGGCTCCATTCCGGTTGGCAAAAAAGCTGCGTCTGACAAGCTGGGTGGCCTCTGTACCCACGCAGCTGCGTGTCTGGTTACATTATCACGCTGGTATATTGTTGATGATGTCACCAGTATGACAGGAATCAGGAAAGTTAACAATGGACCGCGGCATTTGTTAGTCCGAATCCCTCTCACCAGTGCTGCTCCATGATTATTGAATGTAAACAGAGTTGTTTTGGCTTGTTAGATCAGATGCAACTGGCACGGTGTGTACGCTACGTTCTAAAGAATCATGTAATTTCACAGGTCAACCTGGTCTGATGTTCCTACTATATGCCAATCTGAGCTGAATTGTTTAGAGATGATTTAAACCAGGGTCCCCTGCTGAGTCGTTTGACCTGGGTAGACACGCTTCAGTGAGCTGTTCCCACTGCCACTAATGCTGCGTTCAGACCGCAAGCACTGGAAGCAGCAAAAAAGCTCTGCTGCTTTATTTTTTAATGTTGTACACATTAAGGTCCGACGTGCCTCAAGTGCCACTTTGATCCTTAAGCAAGTCCAGTAAGGTGTGTCCAAATTCGTCCGATGCTTCTGCTGCTCCTGTGTTCAGTGGCAGAGAATGGCTTGGTTATATTTGCTATTATAAGTGGGTAAAAAGTAGTTTTAATATGTTTTTAAGTGAGAAAGTCCACCTCAAAACATCATCTGTGCATTCAGTTCATCAAGATTACGACTCTACCTTCAAATATTTCACTGTTGTACCAGCACGAAACCCGCGTACAACAGCGGCACTTTGTCAGTGAAAATCCCCTTCAATGGCAGCCTCTGGCCCGGTCGACACTTGGGGGTTTTCCGCTGTTTTTCGAGGTGGCTGGAAGGCATTTTTCATGTTCGTAATCCAAACTGCAAGCTCCAGAATAATAAAAGCAAAGATTTTTTTTTTTCGGCAGGTTTTCGAGCTTTTAAGTTAATTTAGTGTTAATAAACTGTTTCAGGGGAGTGATCGTAGAGATCTGCATCAGGAGTGCAGTGTCTCTCTCCCTGCCAGCTCCCAGATCAGCTTCTCTGATTTTTTGATGTGCCGTGTTGGGCAGCAAAAGTTAAATTTTTCCAACTCCAGCAGCTGCTGCTTGTGAAGCCTGTCACCTTTCTCAGATGCTCAGAAGCTCATGAGGTGCTGCACAGATGCGTCAAGATGCGCCTTGATGCTCCACAACCAAACTTTGCATGTAAACCAGCTGATTCTGCTGCTTCAGCAGCGTGTTGTCTGAACGTAGCATAAAAGCCGATTGTTCCCAGGTTTAAACTGTTTTTTTGGCCAGTGGGAAAGGGGTAATAGATGAGAGGGGAAGAATGCATGGAGCTCTGTTTTTTGGGAAATGATCAGTGGTGTCAAAAGTACACACATTTTTTTCTTAAGCAGAAGTATAGATACTGCTGTTTAAAAACACTCTCGTAAAAGTTGAAGTATCAACTTGACCTTTTTACTCAAGTAAAAGTGAAAAAGTATGTGCTCCAAAAACTACTTAATGTATAAAAGTATAAAGTAACCTTTAAAAAAATAGCCAGATGCCACTATATGAATTGAAAGCAAATTACTTTGACAATCTCAAAAAATTCTTTGACATAGGGCCAAGGATGAGGGAGGTCTTGTTGGTCTCCGTCTTCATCACCTGTAACCGACCTTTCAGACATCTCAACATCTTTTTCTGAATCCTTCATTGTAGCATGGCTTAGACAATTAACGTTTGCAGTTTGAAGAACACCTGCTTGCTTCTGATGATTTCCTTTAGCTAACCAATGAGTGTTTGCATTATATGGCTCATCTAATTACACTAGTTTACACTAGATGTGGATGGCGCACATGATTTGCATTGAATGGGGCACATGACGTGTAATAACTATTCATAAACTTTAAACCAGGGGTAACCAATTAAAAATCAGCGGGGTCTGAATAAAGAAAATCATCAACCAATAAAGGTCTGGAGACATTTTAATTATGTTACACTAAACAGAATTTAACACTAGAATAAAATTAGGTATTTATGCATTCCTGTTATGCATAGAATTTTGAAAAAAAAAATAGAAATTGCCAAAAATTGCATGCCGTGCTATCTCAGAGGATTTTACTCTTGTATGACTGTATTCCTGTATATCCATCAGTAGTTAAAGGACAAGGGTCAGCAAATGCAAATTCTGCCCTGTAAAAAAATGACAGTGCAATTGTCGCTGTATGATCTGAAGCCTCATTTGGAGCTTTTAAACAGGCTTTTGAAAAACTTTGATAATTTGCTGATGTAATATTCTAAAAAATATTATATTTTTTAGAAGAAAAAAAAACTGAAATAGAATTATAGAGCATTCAGTATTGTAAGAAAGCCCACACTGTTTCTGAATAAATATATTATTGTATGAGTTAAGTTCAATTCCGTTTATGTCTTTTTCCTTGTAAGTGTGAAATGTGCAATGCTGCTGAATAGCCATAGCCATCTGACGCTCACAAATGCATCACATTGGTCTGTGAACGCTGTGCTGTGTGATTCACGTTTGATTTTCCTCTTAAGAGAAAGTTTTGCAGTTTCAAACCTTACGTCGGCTATCACTGTTTATTGTTGTGTGAATAACAAGAGACTACAACAAATAAATCAGCCGCACCTCGGACAAACTCTTTGGATTAAACGTTGTTCATACAGTAACACCCGTACTGGGGATGCATATCTTAGCAGGGATGCACTTTTCGGCATAACACCGGACCGCGGTCTGCTAATCCCTGACCTCTGCATTAAACCGAAGCCAAGAGTAACGAGTAACGTTTGTTTTAAAAAGGTAAGGAATAGTAAGTACAGATACTTGTGTGAAAAAGTAAAGAGTAAAATTCAGGAGTAGGAGGAAAAATAAGTAATGGAGTAAAGTATAGATACCTAAAAAGTGTACTTAAGTACAGTAACAAAGTATTTTTTAGCGTTACTTGACACCTCTGGAAATGATCCATAAGGTTTCAAATCTCAACTCTTGATACAAATGTGCAATAAACTCACCTGCTGTTACAGGCTGGTGACGCTGAAGCTATCATCACTGGCTGGCTCCAGGAGCTGGCACAAAACGCCTCCACCCTGAGAGGTCTGGGAGGGGTAGCGATGTCCCATGCCCTGGTAGGATTGTTGTGGCATAGAGTAGCCACAGGTGTCCTCCTGAACAGGCGAGGCATCTAGAGGACGTTTGGAGTACGGAGAATGAGGGAGGGGGCCCTGGCGAAGACCTGTGCTCATGCTGTGAGGGACCAAATCCCGCTTGTGAGGAGCCATAGCAGAGGGAGGGCTCCGTTCCTCGTACAACCCAGGTGTTGAGTGGGGGTGCAGGCCAGGGCTGGGATTGGGGTGCGCGTGGGAGGGAAGGTGAGTGTTAAGGTGGGGTTGACTGCTCTGGAGGTGTGAGGCTGGATGAATACTGGTGTGTGAGCTCAGGTTTGTGTGGCTATGATGCTGTGGGTCACTCATTTGGGTGTGCGTGTTTGCGGTCGGGTTAGAGAGTGAATTAGGGTGTGTGTTTCCATGAGGACTTGCGTGTGGATTGCTGTGGGTGTGCAGGGCTGTGTTTGAGTGTGGGCTGGGGCTGCTGCTGTGTGATGTCTGTCCGTACCAGTAAGGAGAGCTGCAGTAGCTGGGGGAGTCATACTGCGAAAACTGAGGGTCTTTTGGGGGAGGACGGGGAGAGGGGCTGAGCGCTGTGCCACAGTGGGGGGTTAAACGAGGTGAGGGGGAGCAGGAGGGGGAAAAGGTCCTGGACGGCAGAAGGTGGTAGGACTGGGGGGGAGGAGGGGTGGGTTTGGGAGGATAAGGGGGAGATGACACACTGGGTGAGAGGGAAGAGGAGGATTCACCAGGGTATAAGGCTGGATATCGCTCTTCAGAGGATGGTGTGGAGGGATGGGCCGAGTAAGGGGACGGGTACTCACAGGTGTCCTGGTGGTAGCTAGAGGGTGGAGCGGGATTAGGAGTGGCCAAGGGTGAGAGACTGCTACTGTCTCCACTGTAATAATCCAGCCCCTCCTGGAACAACACAGACCCCTCTGGGCCTCCAGCAGACATCATCAGTCCTGCTCCTGTCGCAGAGGTTGCCTTGCCTCTGACTTTGGATCCACTTGGACGCTCTCTCTGGCATGGAGATAGGCCTCCTCTACCTCCTCTAGAGCCTCTTCCCCGTCCTCCACCCCCTCCCCGCTTATGTCCATGAGCAGGTGTAGGGGAAGGACTAGATGGGGAATCAGAATGTAAGGCAGAACCTCCTTCCTTCTCTAAATGCGGATCAGTCCGTTTTCTGCGACCACGGCCAGGTTTGCTTGCCCCCCCACCTTGAAAAAGGACATCCTGGCTCCAGTTGTACGAAGGTCCTGATGCGCTTTCATGCCAGTCCATCATTAGTTTCTCTAGACTAGACAGACTAGATTGGCCTCCACTCACTGAGCTGGCCTCGTTTGGTTTAAAGCTGCCACCAGTGGAGCTGGGTCCGGTAACAGGAGCTGTTGAGCCAACATGTGAGGAGTCCGAGGAGGATTCTGACAGGCTCTCAGGAAATGGTGGTCGTTTAGCTTTCTGTGGGGTGTAGTTTGAGATATCCAAGATGTCTTTAGACTCACTGGAGCCATATTCACTGTAACCATGGTACTGAGACCCAAAGTTGTCTGCTGACCAGCCGCCAAAAGGTTGCCTGAAAAAAAAAAACACAATTAACTTATACACTTTACACTCAATAATGCTTTAGTTTTAACAAGTCTGTCTATTAAAATTAAGCAATAAAAGTTTACAGGGAATCTAATGCAAATATTACTATGTGGATGGAGTTCTTACTATGTCTTTCCTTATTCAATATTTTTCCAGACAAAACAATTATGATATTTAATAGTTTTCTGGGACATATTGAATTCTGAATTTGAACAATAACCAAAGACAACAGACAACAGGAGTAATTTACCTGCAGCTCCACTGGTTGGATGTGTGCTGCTTGTAACCCTCTAGTCCAGGGGAGCTGAAGGGGCTACCTTTGGCTACGGACATGTAACCTCCTCCAGGTGATGTAGGCCCTGCTGACTCCCCCCTCCCCATCGGGGAATGGCTTACTGCTGGATAACCACTGTAACCTCTCTTGGTGGCTCCCTGGAAATTAGAATATCCCATTTGATTGGCAGGAGTCCCTTTGCCATTGCCATGGGGTGACCCATATCCAAAGCTGCAGTCCGAGGTCCTTTGCGGCCCTACGGGAGGGGAACATGAGTAACCAGAGGGGTAGTGACCATAAGAGGCTGGATGGGGGGAGCTGGGAGAGTGTGAGAGAGATGGAGGAGTGGATTTAGGATATGAGGATGTAGTGGGAGATATTTGGGCTAAACTTCCATAGGTGTAAGGAGACCTCGCACAGGAGCCATGAGGATGTGCTGAACCCTCCACTCCTGCATTTGCTCCTTTTGTGCTCCATTTGGGAAATGGAGGAGACCAGTTGTGAGAGGCAGCTGAGCTGGATGGATCATAGGTAGAAGATGAAGATTTGCGAGGATCAGACTGGGAAGAAATGTCCAGCAGGTCTGAGGAGTCGTCAGAATCAAGTAGGGATCGGAAATAACCAGCAAATAGTCCTTGTGAGTCCTCTCCTGCAAGCCCACTCCCTTTGCTACCCCCTGGACCACTGTAGGAACCTCCTCGTCCAACATTACAACTAGAAAAGCCCCCTCTTGGAGATCCACAGAGTTGATATCCACCAAAAACTCTATCTTTATCCATAGCCCCCTCCTCGTCCCATCCACCCATCCCATTGGGCCATTCCTGTCCCATGGACATCCCTCCCCCTTTAAATGCACCATTTTTTCTCATACGTCTCCGTCTAACAACCTTCTCGCCTCCAGTTTCCGTTCCCACCATACCCCCTCCCCTACCCACCCCTCCTCCCACCCCCTTTCGTCTTTTCCTCGGTAATCCATGCTGAGACAGGAGATTCAGTTTCCGTTTTTTTCCAATTGACTCAAAGAAGTCACTGAATGTGCTCTTATTGCACTCACTGCCCATTACACCCCCTGCTGCTCCTCCACCTCTTCCAAGCCCCCCTCCTCTGCCACCTCTGGGGCGTCTAGATCCTGTGAGCCTGTGGAGCAGGGTGGATATTCCAGGGTTTTCCAAGGGTGTGTGAAAGCTTTCTGGCTCACTTGGTGTCCAACAGCGAGGAGGGGAGCAACGGCCAGTGGCTGGGGGCTGGCGGTTTAAAAAAGCCAATTTGGAGAGAACGTCCCCATATTCTGTTTTTACATCATTTGTGTCATTAACATAGGATGGATAAGGACAAGGGAGTTTAGTCCGACGTCGTCTCCTAGGTTTCTTGGGCAGTTCCCCAGGAACAGCAGCAGTCCCAGCACTAGGAGCTTCAACCTGTATTCCTGGTAAAGGCTGTTTAGGCGGTCTTCCTCGTCTGCGTTTGAGAATCACAGGAAGTTCTCCAGGAGGGAACATTACCATAACGCTTTTCCCATTATTCTTCATTCGGAGAAGTGCAGTTGGCTCTCGTGTTGCTTCAGACCCTTCTGGACTGCCGTCGTTAGTCTTTTCGGCTCCTGTAACCGTTTCCAAACTGGAAATTTTGTAGCTTTTCTGTCGACGGCTGAGACTGAAAGGAATCCGAGGCACCTTTACAACAATCTTCCTTACCTGTTGGTTAAAAGAGAAATGAGAAAATAAAACAATCAATGTATACATGGAAGAAAATTGAGTGAAGAAGTTACAATACTGTGAACAGTGCTTCGCAAAAGTATTCACTTTGTGAACTTAATTTTTTATAACTGTTGAGATACACATTTCAATGTAACTAACTGCTGTGTAGACATATAAAATAAAGTTTGATCTGAAAAGAAGTATGAAGAATGCTAATGCAGAGAGAAAAAACATAAGATATCTCATGTGCGGCTGTAAGTGTTGAGGGGGAAGTAGCAAATACATAGAAGATGGTACTCTTGTTAGACAAATTTTTTCTTGTATTTGTTCAAAACTTTTTTTCAGCAAGATACTAACAGGACATAATGCTCTGAACAAACTATCCCCACAATGAAGCATTCTGAAGGAAGCACCATGCTTGGAGGATTTGTTAGCAGAGACAGGGACATTGATCAGAGTTAATGAGAAGACGGGGAAGCCTAAAAGAAAACGTTTTGGATCATGCAAGAGACATAAGACTAGGACAGAAGTTCCCTTCCAAGCAGGATGACACCAAGCTTGAAGCCAGAGCAACAGGGCAAAGGTTTAGATGAAAGTATATATATCTATTAGAGTGGTCCAGTCAAAGCACAGAACCAAATCCAATAAAGAAAATATGATGTGAAAATTGCAAAGTAAAATGGGGAAAATGCCTAGTCAATCTCTCAATGTGGAAAGGTGGTAAAGACATAACCCAAAACAACTGAAGCTGTTGTATTCATATTCGTACTTGTATACTTCCATTTATCTGGGGCCGGGTTAGGGGTCCAGCAGTCTCAGCTGAGACTCCCCGAATTCCCTCTCCCCAGACTCCTTCTGCAACTCTGCTGGGGGAAGCCAGTTGCCTTCCTAGGCCAGCTGAGAGACATAGTCCATCCAGCAAGTCCTGGTCTGTCCCCTGAGCCCCTCTCTGTGAGACATGCCTGGAACACCTCCCGCAAGAGGCAACCAAGGGGCGTCTTACAAAGTGAACTGAGTCACCTCAGCTCTTAATGAGGAACCTGCCCCCAGATGACCAGGCAGCTCACCCAATCTCCAAGTGAATGCCCAGCTGCATAGAAAGCATATTTCTGCCACTTCTGTCCAGTATCTCATTCCTTTAATCCAAAATGATAAGCCATAGGTGATGACAGGAACCTAAACCAACTGTTAAACTGAGTGCTTTGCCATTTGGTTTAGCTCTCTCTTCACAACAGACTGGTGCATCAGCCGCATTATAAGATTATATATCAGTCCTGTTTATGCTTATGGACAGGACTTCTAGGTACAGCCAAGGACCAGAGAGGCTCTGGTTTTTGGAACAGCAGATTTCAACTCTGCTTTTTTATTATGTGGTTCTGTCTGCTCTCTTCTGCCAAGACCTAGAGCATAAATTGGAGCGGTTCACAGCTGTGTGCCAAGCAGCAGGGATGAAGACACTTCCTCCAAGTTCGAGGCTATGGTTCTTGACCAGATTAAGGTGGCTTACCCCTTTCATATTGGGGGAGAGTTTGTGCCTCAATGGAAGAGTTACATTTTGGAGTGCTGTTCACAAGTTAGCTCACTACAAAAATGATCTAGAAATTAGTCAACATTTCTTAAATTAAATGTACTTATTCTTAATTTGAGTAGGTAAATTAGACGATTTGCCAACAGAATTAGTATTTTACTCTTAAAATAAGATAATTACATAGTATGCACTTTAAATAAGACAACGCAATTGTTTTTACAACAGTAGTGGCTGTTTTATGGACACTAGGCTAACAGGAAAGGGGGTATGAGAGAGGGGGAGAGACATGCGGCAAAGGACCACAGGTAGGATTCGAACCTGGGTTGTCTGCGTCGAGGACTAAGGCCTCCATACATGGGTGGTGTGCGCTAACCACTGCACCACCAAAGCACACCCTCAATTGTTTTTTCTTATTTAAAATTTAAATTGTCTTGTACCATTGGCAAAGTGTCTCACTTACCTGCTCAATTCAAGAACACTGCACTTATTTTAAGAAAAATTTACTTATCTAGATTTTGGTACAATGGGGGTAATGGTGCAGGAGATCGAAAGACTGAATCTAGCATTAAAGCAAAGAGCTGGCCCAGAAAGCATTGACTTCGAAGGCTGAGTACAAATGCTTGAGCTTTTATTTGTTAAAAAACACCCCAATAAAATACAGTGACGTTTGTAGAATGAAGCCTCAAACTGTGCAAAGGTTCCTTTAGTAGGAGCAATTTTGCAAGGCAATTTTTTTTATAATTGTTAATACACTTACACCAACATAACGCCTTTTTTTGCTGTTGCTGGGAGGACATACCCCCAAGTCTGCATCAGGTTCTTCCTTCGTAGCCAACAAAGGTGCAGATTCAAAGGAAAGAGGAGAGGCAGCACACTGGCGGAGGGCCTGTGCTGCCAGACGCTGCTTTAAAATGCTCTTAGGAGCTGCTTTATGCACATATTTCAAAGGAGGCTTACACCTGGATTTTGGTCCAGGTCTGTGCCCGAGTCTTGGTCCAGGTTTAAGAAGAGGTTTTGGAGCAGGTTTAGGTTCAAGAGGAGTAAGAGAGTTGTCTTTATGGTAGGTAGGTGCTGGTAGAACAGCCTCAACAGAAGAATGCTCTTCTTTAACACCAGGAGTGACTTCCTCCTCTTTTACCCTCCAGATCTTCTCCTCTAATGGCTCCTCCTCTTCTCTTCCTCGGTCTCTGCTTCCTAATTTTCCCCCATCCTCCATGTTTCTATGCAGGCGAGATGATTTGCGCAGGTGCAAGGGGAAGCGAGGACGCCCCGAGCTGCGGAGTGCATACTTCTTCTCTGTCTCCACAGGGAGAGAGGAAGAATCCGTTATTGGGTTAGGCTCAGAGTGGACTGAACCATAGTTTAAGGGTGCATTAAACTCAACAGTCTGGGCTGGGGCCTCCAGGGGATTGGTAGGAGCAGGATGATTGCCAATCGCCAAAGGCAAAGTCTGAGGTGAAGTTGTGTTCATGGCCTCTAGTGTGAGAGTTTTACAGAGTTCTGAGTCTATAGAATCTGTGCCATTGTTGATTTCCACAAGTCCACAGTTGTCCATGTGTGGGTTTGAGAAAGCCTCTGCATCCACTTCTGGATCTACATGTGTTTGCATGTTTCTGAGAGTCTCTGAAAAGGTGTGCGCCTCAGCTGTCATGCAGGTCTCAGAGTGACTCCGCAGGTATGTGGAGTGCCCCAGCCTTTCCTGCAGATAAGCACCAGTTTCCAGGATGGACGGAGAGGTGGGGGCAATGTCAGAGGTCACAAGGGCCAGTCCTTCAAGAAAGGGATCCTGGAATGCCCCATGGAGTGTGAGCTCCCCTGTCCAGCACTCAGGTCTTTCCAGTCCCTCCAGTCCAATAACACAACCCTTCTTCTCAGTCTGAGTCTTCCCAAGACCTGTTGGAGCGCCAGTTTGGCTTGAATGAAGAGGATCTGACAAGCCACTCATTCAGTGAACAGTTCTGCAGGTATTCAGTCAGGATGTAGAGAGATTGTTTCAGCTGTCTATGCACGACAATTTCAACAGCTCGGAGGGGCAGAAAGCTTTAACACCTAAAGGTAGAAATAAAGACAGAGACCAAACGAGTTAAAATATGCCAATATCCCTTAGTTTGATTTATTTTTTTTAATTAGTAAACTCTGCCTGTTTTATTTCTTACTGCTCCTAAACTTTTTCCACCCAAACTGTCAATGTATTTGGTAAGGTGCCAAAAAGCTCCTCTGAAATACTCCTATTAAATGTGTCACCCACACACCAATATTTTAAAATAAGACCACATGTACCATTCATACCCCACTCCGTTGGTTGCTCCGACCGAACTGCCGTGGTTTTTCTGATTCTGAGCTGAGTCTGACTCGGTCTGCCTGACTGGCTCTGTTCTGCAGGGGATCATTGGGTCATCAATACTGCAGTGGAGAGCTCACAGACTTTTCTCTCTCTTTCCCCTGCCTCTGTCTTCTGCCCATGGTTGCTACAGTGCAAGAAAAGGAAGACAGAGACAGACAGAAGGAGAAAGGGGACAGAAAGTTGGAGAAGGTGGAGGGGAAGGCATGTGGGGAAAGGAGGAGCACAAAGAGAAAGAGAATAAGTGATTAGTACATGATGTCACAGCTTGAATTGGGCCAGACTGGAATCAGTATTTGAGAGAGGGCTGCACCATCTCCCATCAGATACAATTATGTTGGAGGATGACTTGCAGTATAAATTGTTTAAGTTGACTTCTTCTTTCATTTTTTCTATCTTATAGCAGGTTTTTGCTACATATGGAAGTACTTGAAGCCTGTTGTGTTGATCATTACTTTTATACTATGCAAACAAGCTAAGAAAATGTTTTACATCACAACCTTTCTAAATGATATAAACAATATACAGTCATTACAGCTGGAAGAAAAAAAGGCACATGTACAGTTATTGTTATGTTTTGCCAGAAACTGCAGATTTCTTATGGGATGCAACGCAAACAAAAATGTTTAAACACTGCTGCCACCAGGGGGAAGCAGAGAGGCGAGTGAAAGTCGAGGTGTTGAGAGGATGTAGAGATGAAGGTGACACAAAGACAGGAGTGATGGAGGGATAGCAGAACCTCGGAGAGAAGGAGAAGTACGGACACAGGAGGAAGAAACAGAAGTAGGAGACTTGGACCACATGTGCTGGCGGCCACGCATGCTCATCAGGCACAAACACAGGAAGGCTTGCAACATTTGTGAGCAGATATGCATGCACGCTGTTGGCTCTTAACTTTGTAGCGCACACACTCCACATTCAACACAATTATGTCCATTGTCAGATCTCTCTGCCTTTCCTTTCCAACATATGGCTCTGATTATGGAGGGAGGGAGGGAGGACAGAGAGCAGGAGGCAAAGAAAGTGAGAGAATGAAAGGGTGGGAATGTATGAAAAGGCGACAGGGCTGCATAAGACACAGGAAAGTGAAAGATGTGACTGAAATAGGAGGGAAAGAATCGTGACTGGACAAGCAGACAGGGAAATTAAGAGGAAAAAAGTTATGGAGGAGCAGGAGGAAGAGGATAAGTCAGTTGAGGAAGAGGAGAGGGGGTGTTTTGCTGAAGCTGAGTGCGGGGCTGCACGCATGAAGCGAAACAACCTCTGCTGCTCTTAGGAATGACACAACTGGGACAGACAAACATGGAGATGAACACGCACACACACACACCACTCGTACTTCTTTAACCCCATCACCCACTCCCTTCCTGCTGCCGCCTCCCTGACTTTCTCTCCCGTTCTCACTTTCTCTCCGGTCTAATTAACTGCGCTCATTAATCGTGGCTTCATCTGACCAGTTTGTGAGCGAAGGAGAGGAGCACATGCTTTAATTAAGCACAGCATCACATGTGCTCACACATACACGCTGTCACTCTCCAACACATACCAACACACACATGCAAATATGCCCCTGCAGCTTCGTCCTCCCACACACCGATTTACACATAAAGACAGACGCAACACGCACGCTCACGCACGCATGTGCTCCCCGCACGCAAAACAAAGACACACATGCAAATGCCCCTCTTCTGGGCTCTGCAGGGGGCATTTTGACAGGGTTTAGATGCGAGCCAATCAATTCTGCTATGATTCATTGTTTAGGCAAAGCACTCCTGGCATACTTCAGCCGCCATTCCAATATAATCATACGTAGCGAATGTGCTTTGGTGCATTTTCCCATGGATGGCTCTGGGGCTTTGGAACACACAGTGGTGTAACATTGTCTCAGTAAAAAACGCCGATGGTATGCACTGCTCCTACATCATGATCTGTTGAATCTTCTGTACAAAAAAGAAGCTCTGGCATGAGGAGTGTTTGAACACTTTTGATCTAATACATTTTTTTTTTTTACCACTTTCTTCATAAAAAAAGTTTTTGGTGTTATTGTGCAAATGCGGGGAAAGGCAGCAACAACACACCATGCCACAGAATGCCTGTGCGTTAGTGTGTTTGTGCAGAGACAAGAGGCTGCCAGTTTGGAGTTTGGGCAATTGCCCTGTTACGCAGTCTGGGAGGCGCAATGACTCTGTAGATGGTAGTTGTACAGCATATCTATTCTCTCCTCATCTATCTCACTGCCACAAAGGCTTGCAGACTCACAGGCCTGCCAGCAGAAACCCTCAATGAGGAACTAGACCCAGCGTGTGCGTGTGTGCTTGTTCACGCGTTTGCGCGACCAATTGTGTGCGTGAACAGGAGTGTGCACATGTAAGAGTGTGTTTTCCTGGGTGTGTTTGTAAAAGCACTCACTGAGCTCTAACGGGTGTGCAGTTGTTGCTAAGAGACAGGCAGCAGCACCGAAACAGCATGGGGGGGGTTTAGAGGGGGGTGGAGGGGAGGAAAAAGAGAGGTGGTGGGGAAAAGGGAGGGGGGATGGTGGGGGGGCTCCAAGAGGTTTAGACAGATAAGAAGAAGGAGAGGGATGAAAGTGAGGAACGAGATGGAGAAAGTGTCCGTGAGGGCCAGGAAAGAGAAGAAAAGAGGTGGGAAATGTGTGGGGAGGGGGAAGTGGGTCAAGGGGTCCACAGAGACCAAGTGACACCGCGTGGAAACCCGGCCAGCAGGGCTGATGCCGCTCCCTGTACATCAACTCAACCCTTATGCAACTTTAACCTGCAGCTCAGACAGCATCCGCCCGTCACAGCAATGAGAGACATCAGTGACGGCCGAGGACGGCATAACAAGTTGGTGGGTACTTAAGTTTGTCTGTGAGAGGTTTGCAGAGGAAAACAGAAGAAGAAGGAGACAACTTAGTGCTGTGTTGCATGATGAGAAAGCCACATCAGTTCAAGCAAATGAATAAAAAAAATCCTGTTTAGCTTTTTGAATGACTCCTTTTTCTGTACCCCATTCCCATAGCTATTTAACTTTTAACTTATTCAAAATACTAAAAACTAAAGAATACGGACAGACACATAGATACCAGGCATAACATAACCAGTATAGGCACCCTGACTGTCTGCAGCCTCACAAATAAGTTTTGATGCAGAGCCTTCTATCAAAATGACTTAGCAATTTCAGCTATAAGTTGGCATGTCTGATGTGTTATTGTTAAGTTGAAATTGATCATAATGGTCTGTATACTGGTGTATATAATCATTTTCAGAGATACGCTATTTGCATATGAATTTATTGTCATAACACTGTCACAAGTACAGAGCAATGAAATGAACTAATTTAATCCATCCCCTTGGGAAGCAGTGGGCTGCCATTGTGCGGCGCATGGGGAGCAGCTGGGGGTTAAGGGTCTTGCTCAGAAAGCCAGAGTTGCAGTTTGTGGGAGTTGGGCTTGAACTCAGAACCTCCGGATTCCAAGCTCTATGCCCTAACCACAAGGCTCTATGCCCTAACCACCAGGCCGCCATTCCCCCGAAAATGGGGTAAACTCTTGTTGTTCCTCTCCACGGAAATCTTTAGTAAATGAAAGATTTATATTATCTGAAGAGAAACAAGATGAATTTAAAAATATATTGGTCAAACTACTACGAATCTTTTTTTTTCTTGTTTTCACACAATAGGTTTCACAACTATTATGAAACTTATTTTTTGTTTTTTTGTTTTTATTTTCAAAGAAGAAAAGTTTGATAAGTCCAACTGGGCTTTACGTTTTTAATATTTAAGATATAGTCAAACCCGTTTCAGTTATTGCTCATTTCAATTTAATGATAGTGAAATAAGTGCCCCATTAAAGTCAAGAACCATGAGTTGCCATATTGAGTTCAACACAAGGGGGTATATACATCCTCACTGACTGATTAGCAAAAGAAAAGATATTTGGGGGGAAAAAACTACGACCCATCAATTATTTTTCTGTTTCTGAGTGCTATTATTGCACAAACTTTTAACACATTAGGTTAGGTTAAACTGGAAGCTCTAGCTGACAAGAGTGAGTCCTAGTTATCAATGACTCAAAATATCTGTATAAACATTTCTATAAGAAATAAAAGCTGTACGCAAAATAAAATCAGAATAATTAACAGACAAAGGCTTAAAACCATCAGTTTGTTTTAGTTTGTCAATATAATGTTCTTCACTTAGTGATCAATGAAGTTAATCGTTTTTCAATCATATTTTGACTTATTGACTGACTGCAGATAGAACAAGTATTGATTCTTCGGGGGAAATGTTTTTGGCAGATATATTCTTTTCCCTCCGATCATTAGAACTACACTGCCAGAAATAATCTAAATGTTTTCATTAGTTCATACATTAAATAATTCATTATTATTATTACTGGTTCTGGATTTAGAGATTTTAGGGTAATTTACCTAACCCTCTATATAATAACTCCATCGCAAAATCATACAGCAAACCAAAGCCTCTAGATTGGACCTTGTTCCATTTAATTTTGGCAACATAACATAATTAAATTTTGGTGTTTAATGTCAGTGATAATGATAATGCAGCATATATCTCAATTAGAGCTTTAAATAATTTAACAACATAAAACCAGTTGGATTTAGAAGTGTTTTTTCAAGCACTATTTGTAAAAAATAAATTAATATATAGATTTATTTTCATTCACTTAGGACATTTCTTTTTTTGGGGGGAAAGAGAAAGCTATTTCAGAAACGATAAAAAAAGAGTATGTAAAATAAGTATCAAATACCTAGTAAAAATGGTAAATGGCCTGTAGCGCTTTACACCACATTCAGTCATTCACCCATTCACACACACAGTCATGCACTGATGTGGCAAACTAGTATAGCCACAGCTGCCCTGGGTCTCACTGACAGAGGTGAGGCTGCCATACACTGGCGCCACCAGGCCCTCTGACCACCATTAGTACGCAATGCAGGTGAGGTGTCTTGCCCAAAGTCACAACGACACTAAAAGCCAGAGCCAGGGTTGGAACTGACAACCCTCCAATCACAGGGAAAACTCCTGCACTCAACGCCAATGTCACCCCTAAAAAGAAAATAATTTTTATGCATTTCATTATAAAATATAAGGATAAAAATTGCTGAT